GTGCTGGGGTTGGGCTCCAGAAACTCAGGCACCAGTGGCAGAGCCTGTTGGGAGTCTTAGAAGTATAATTTCTTTAGGCACACACCCAGCTGTTACTCAGGCTTCACAGGAATTCCTGCTGCAGGTGCATTCTTCCTAGCCAGACTCCTGCTGTGCAGTAGTCTGTGAGTGCCATTGGGCTTGGGCGGGGAGGAGCCACCTCACAGAAGAGCAAAGGAGCCCTTAGGATAAAGAAGAGGTATCCTAAGGGCTCCTTTGCTCTGGGTCTACTTTTTTGTTTGTTTGTTTAATTATATCACCCAAGAATATATACTGTATTTTTCCCCATTACTTTTTAGAGAGAGTGGAAGGGTGGGGAAGAGACAGAGGGAAACATAAATGTGAGAGACATGACCGGCTGCTTCCCACACGTGCCCGACCTGGGTCAGAGATTGAGTCTGCAGCCGAGGTACGTGCTCTTGACTCGATTGAACCTGCGACCCTTCAGTTTGTGGCCAACACTCCAACCACTGAGCCAAACCGGTCAGGGCTAAGTCTACTTTTGTGTCTTCTAGGACAGCAGCCGCCAACTTTTCGGACCTCACAGACCACCAGTGGTTCATGGACCACCAGTGGGTGACCGCTGCTCCAAAGGTTTTCCTAAACCAGCAGTCGCCAACCTTTCCAATTTCACTGACTACTGGTGGTCTGCAGACCACTGGTTGGCGACCACTGTTCTAGGACACTGCTTCTCCCACCAGTGTTGAAGGACCAATTTTTAAAATTTTCAGTCTATTTGGACAGATTAAAAAAATTTGTAACATAAAAAAGGGATTGCCCAGCCATTGTTTCTCAGTGGTTGAGCATCAATCTATAAACCAGGAGGTCAAGGTTTGATTCCTGGCCAGGGCATATGCCCGTGTTGTGGGCTGGATCCCCAGTTTGTGGCATGCAGGAGGCAACTGATTAATGATTCTCTGTCATCATACATGTTTCTATCTTTCTCCTCTCTCCCTTCTCTGAAATAAATAAAAATATAAAAAATAAGATAAAGGGATTACTAAGAAAAGAAACTAACTGAAAAAGACACATAGAATGCACACTCTAATTTTTTATTATTAGATTCAACAGATACAAAATTACTCTGTCAAACTGCTGTAAAAGTTTCTAAAGCTTATTCGCAATTTCTGAATTTAATTTTGTTTGCAAACTGCTAAACTATGCATAGACTGATTCATTTTGAAAGCAGTGATCTAGGAAGAATTTGTTAAGTAAATTAGTAAACGGTGTTTTTGGAATATTCACATGACTTAAGAGTAAAAAAAGCCTTTCAGTTGACATTTAAAATACTTGAGGTGTTTGTTCACAGATGATCTAATTACAGTGACATCTTTTCAGTGAGTTACATTAAGGATAGGGATGTAGAATAAACATGGGGTGGGCAAAAGTAGATTTACATTGTATGGAAAATATTACATAATCGTGTATAATAAAACCCCAATATGCAAATTGACCAAACGGTGGAACGACCAGTTGCTATGATGCACACTGACCACAGGGGGCAGACCCTTAACACAGGAGCTGCTCCCTGGTGGTCAGTGCACTCCCACAGAGGGAGTGCTGTTCAACCAGAAGCTAGGCTCATGGCTGGTAAGCAAAGCTGCAATGGTGAGACCAGGCTGAGGGATTCCGCCCTTCCCCGCACCCTGCCGTGAGTGCACGAATTTTGTCCACCGGGCCTCTAGCCTACACTAATAAAAGAGAAACATGCAAATTGACCATATCTCCGCTATGCCTACCAGCCATGCCCACGAGGGAGTATACAAATTAACCCAACCAAGATGTCTGTGGCCACGGAGCAAGCAGGAGGCTTGGGTTGCCCCCCGAGATGGAGGAAGCCAAGCTTCTTGGTCGGCCCTGGACTCTGCTCAAGGCTACAAAATTTCAATTATAGAAGATAAATAAATCCCAACAAAAATGACAGTGGCTACGGAGCTGGAGAGAGCAGGAGGCTTGGGTTGCCCAAGGTGATGGAGGAAGTCAAGCTTCCTGGCCAGCCCTGGCCTCCGCTCAAGGCTACAAAATTTCAATTATAGAAGATAAATAAATCCCAGATACCAGGCCTCTGCCTGGGTCGCCAGGGGGAATGGCTGGCATGTAAACCAACACAGGCCCCTTGCCCAGGCTTCCCCATGCCCCAAAGGAACCCCCACCCTGATCTGGGAAGCCCTTCAGGGCAAACCAGGTGGCCCCCACCCTTGCACCAGGCTTCTATCCTATCTAATAAAAGAGTAATATGCAGATTGACCATCACTCCAAACACACAAGGTCAAGATAGTTGCCCTCATATGGTCAAAGATCCTGCCCCCATGTGGACACAAGATGACCACCACAAGATGGCTAGCAGGGGAGGGCAGTTGGGGATAATCAAGCCTGCAGGGGAGTGCAGTTAGGGGTGATCAGGCCGGCAGAGGAGGGAAGTTGGGGCCAAACAGGCTGGCAGGGGGGCAGTTAGACATCAGTCAGGCTGGCAGGGCAGTGGTTAGGGGGTGATCAGGCTGGCAGGCAGAAGCAGTTAGGGGCAATCAGGAAGGCAGGCAGGCGAGCAGTTGGGAGCCAGCAGTCTTGGATTGTGAGAGGGATGTCCGACTGCCCTAAATGGGCAGTGGGACATCCCTTGAGGGGTCTCAGATTGGAGAGGGTGCAGGCTGGGCTGAAGGACACCCCCCCCGCCATGCATTAATTTTATGCACTGGGCCTCTACTTAATAAATGATAGGCTAGCCGAAGCCGGTTTGGCTCAGTGGTAGAGCGTCGGTCTGTGGACTGAAAGGTCCCGGGTTCGATTCCGGTCAAGGGCACGTACCTTGGTTGCAGGCACATCCCCAGTGTGGGGTGTGCAGGAGGCAGCTGGTTGATGTTTCTCTCTCATCGACGTTTCTGGCTCTCTATCTCTCTCCCTTTCTCTCTGTTAAAAATCAATAAAATATATTTTAAAAAAAATAAATGATAGGCTAAACTTTTGTGTACTCACAACTGTAAACCTACTTTTGCCAACCCCTGTGAGCCAAAGAACTGAAGCTAGTGTGGTTATTATAAGGGATCCATAGGTCTAAATTAGTTGCAATACTTGTAAAAATGAATGCTTTTACTTTCTCTGTTGTTTCTGAGAGCCATTTACATTCTTTTGCTTATTTCATTTGTTAGTATGTTTATTAATTTTTGGCTTGCCTTTGAATTGATTTTTATATTTTAGTGTATGATATTAGATATTTCCTTTTAGGGGAGAGGCTTCCTAAGCAAACATTTATTGACAAATTTTCAGAGTTATGTATACTGACGTAGAGATCCTGTAATAATTTAATTAGTTTACATTTTGGATTTGAGTTTTGTCTCCAGCTACCTGAGCTCCCAGAGTACTCTTACCACTCAGGGCTAGGCTTCCAAATGCTCAGGTTTTGAGTTTGCTCAAAGATGGCTGTGATTTTGAGGTTCTCTCTTATTCTCATTATTTAATTTGCTATCTGAAAAGTCAAACTCGAGAATGTTCGGCAGAGTGCACAGGCCTCTTTGGAAGGGGGATATCTTCAGAAACTACACAGGGCAGGGTGATTGGTAGAGAGATGTGTGCCCCAGAGCAGTGGTCGGCAAACTCATTAGTCAGCAGAGCCAAACATCAACAGTACAAAGATTGAAATTTCTTTTGAGAACTGTGTTTTTTAAACTTAAACTTCTTCTAATGCCACTTCTTCAAAATAGACTTACCCAGGCTGAAAACCGACTTCTGTGCATGGGCCATGAAGTTTCCAATCGCACTGTATTTGCACACCCACATGTGGTATTTTGTGGAAGAGCCACACTCAAGGGGCCAAAGAGCCGCATGTGGCTCACAAGCCGCAGTTTGCCGACCACTGCCCCAGAGCAATGCACAGGCCCCAGTGGTATTTAAGGACGCAGTCGGCAGCGTAGTTGTCTCCACCTGTGGTTTTCGAACAAGAGTGGGAGGAGTGGGTTTCCTCTGTGTCAGCCAGAACAGCCAGCGCATTGGGTTGCACAGGACATTGCTCATGTAGAAGAGAACCTGCCTTAAAGGAGGGAGGCACATTGGAAAGTCACGTTTAGCCCAAGTCAGAGTCATTTGCCTTTACCTTTAGGGTGTGTGACTGTGTTTTCTCCCTGTCTCCTTTATGGTCAACAGACCTGAGTTCCAAATCCAGTCCTGCCACGTACTAGGTAGGTATGGTGACCTTGACTGAGTTATTTAACTTCCAAAAACTTGTTTTCTCATTTGTAAAGCGAGGGAATCTCATTTGTAAAGCGAGAGAAGGATTATTATTAGGATGAAGGATGATGCGTGTACTGCACTTGAGTGAGTATGGGCTCCATGGGTGAAAGGGACCTGACAGTGAAGGTGGGGGAAGGATGGGACCTAGGAAGGAATGCCTGCTTACAGCAGTGGTTCTCAAACCAGAGTGGAGTCTCGTCGGGATCACTCAGTGCCTTTAAATGCAGTTCTGGGCCCACCTCGTGTCTGGTCATTTGATCAGGGTGGACTGAGAACTGGCATTGTGAGTGTTCAGGTGCTGCCACTGCCCTGCTGGTCTGAGGACCACACTGTGAGAACATGGTGACTCACCCATGAGCATGGAGGGGCTATAGATACATCTCAAAGCTGAGCTTTCATGTGGTTAGAGGCACTGTTAGAAAACGCTTGAATGCATTTTGCAGATACTGAATTTAATATCTCAAGGATTTTCCTGAAGTCCAGGAGTCTTAGTTAAATATATTTGAAGAAGAATAAGTTGTGAAAGTAACAGTTATAAGCATTTTATTGGTAGTCTAACAATGTCAAATTGGCTAAGGTACGTGAAAGTGCTTTGATAAAATGCTAAAATCTGAAAAAGTATTTTAAATACCTTTGTTTTTAAGATTGAACATCATAGTGGAGTATAAAATAGTATAACTTAGATTTCTCATCTCAATGTGCTGTTTACCGTATGTATTTTTCTCTTTCTCCTCCAGGCTGCTGACTTGAGTAAACCAATAGATAAAAGGATATACAAAGGAACACAGCCTACTTGTCATGACTTCAACCACCTAACAGCCACAGCAGAAAGTGTCTCTCTCCTAGTGGGCTTTTCTGCAGGCCAAGTCCAGCTTATAGACCCAATCAAAAAAGAAACTAGCAAACTATTTAATGAGGAAGTAAGTAGTACCCTGTCTTAGCTGTTAAGAATCCCTTTAAGAATGTATATGTCCTTACCAAGGGGAGTGGGCCTTATTTTACACTTTTGAGCTAAGCCCATTCTCTTTCTCTCAGTCCTACCTAGTCTCATCCAAGTTTAAATGTGGTGAATGAACTTGTTGACTTTTGCCTGTGCTTCCCTGGGGTAATGGTTTTGTGTGTATTTTTGTGGAGCATGCTCAGGTGTCTATAGCAGGTGTTTTAAAACTCCATTAAAATGGAGATGGGGTAAGACTGTGACTTAATTTTTATAATTTAAATAAGAAAATGTAGACTTCCAGACCTTGTTTGCATCACCAGGAATTTTCGTGCAGACCAAGGAACTTGATGACATTTTGCTAGGCAGCTTACATGGTACTGAAAGCTTTTGTATGTATGTATGTGTGACAGGCCTTTGGCTAAGGAGCAATTCTTTTGCTCTTGAAAATATTTGCTGTTAAGTCACCTTTGACACAGTTAGAAATCCTGGCACTTAAAATTGGATCACACGACAGAGCTTTTGCCAGTGTTGTAGTATGTACTGGGGTTTCTAGTTTCTTCAGTTTCATTCTGGAAGAAGCCGAGATATCTGAGCTGTCTGTTCAGGAACACATCAAGACTGTGAAATGTGGCAGTTAGAAGTTGCCAAATAGGTTATGTTTGTGAAAACTGTTGGAGTGGCTTTTTGGCCCCAAGAATTGAGATATTCTTCCCTCCTGTATTTCCTATGACTCTCCTAGCCTGTGGGAAAGATAGCGTAGATTGGCCAACTTACCAGTCCTGGGTTCTTCTCTGTGTGTGACCTCAGTGCTGATCTGACAGGGTCAGGTCGAGAGGGAACCCTCTTCTCAGGAAGGACATGTGGTCTCCCACTGACACATGATTTTTAAAAATATGTATTTTTATTGATTTGAGAGAGAGAGAGGGAAGGAGAGGGGTAGAGATACAGAAACATAGATGAGAGAGAAATATTGATTGGCTGCCCACAACCTGGGCATGTGCCCTGACCTGACTGGGAATTGAACCAGTGACATTTTGGTACATGGGTCAATGCTCAACCACTGAGCCACACTGGCCAGGCACTGATGCATGATTTTAACGCCTTTAATTTGGAACAGAAGAAATAATTTTGTTTGGAGGAGAATTTTCAACTTAACACATTGCAGTTAAAATTCTGATTTTTTTGCAGTCATTATGGTACAAGTTCCTCCTGGGTGGCTTTGCCAGTGGTCTTGGTGAACTTTTTTGAACCATGCCATCGCATCTTCTAGTTTCATCTGGGTTGACTGGAAACAAAACTTGCCATCTGTAGAGAAAAGTATTTTAAGTCCATTTTCTATGAACAAAACTTAAGCAGAAAATTATTCTATTTATCTAGATATTTTACTAATATCATCTGAGGAAGTGATTTCTAAGTTAGTTGATACTTAACTTTTTTGGTGAGGGAGAGTGGACACAAAACCACCCTTCTCTGCTCTGTCAGTAGAAATTGTGAGGATTTGTTTGCGTGGAGGCAGGAGCGTGTTACTGAGCGGAAGGAGATTGGGACCATGTAAAGCACTGTGGTAAACAAGGTCAGGAGGCTGCTCTGGCCGAGGATGGCACAGAATGCCACTTAGAGGACAAGGGTTTGTGTGTCATCACTGGGAGGGTGGAGCCAGAGACCACGGATTCCCGGAGTGCCAGGGCCCTGAAAGCACGCAGACATCAGCCAGGATTGCCCCTCACTCGGGACACCTGGAAGTTGCAGGTTAACAAGCACCTTCTTGCTCTTAGTGATCTAAGCATGAGTTACCTCATACTCTCTTTTTTCTTCTTCTAAGTTTATCTTTATTGTTGAAAGTATTATAGATGTTCCCTTTGTTCCTTCAAAAAAAATTTTTTTTATTTCAGAGAGGAAACCAGAGAAAGAGAGAGAAACATCAGTGATGAAAGAAAATCATTGATTAGCTGCCTCTTGCACACACACACACACACACACACACACACCCCTGGCTGGCAGCGGGGGAGGGGGAGAGAGGGGGAGAGGGAGGGGTGGGCAATTACGGGCAACCAGGCTGGCAGGAGGGGCAGTTACGGGCAATCAGGCTGGCACACAGAGGCAGTGAGGGACGATCAGGCTGACGGGGATGGCAATTAGAGGTGACCAGGCAGGCAGGTAGGTGAGCGATTAGGAGCCAGCAGTTCAAGATTGTGAGAGGGATGTCCGACTGCCAGTTTAGGCCTGGCAGTTGGGATATTCCCCAAGGGGTCTCAGATTGGAGAGAGTGCAGGCTGGGTTGAGGGGACAACCCCCCTCATGCATGAATTTTGTGCACTGGGCCTCTAGTTTCATATAATAGTGGTTTGGTGGGGATGAACTCCTTTAGCTTTTTCTTGTCTGTGAAATTTTTTATCTGACCTTCAGTTCTAAATGATAGCTTTGCTAGGTAGAGTAATCTTGGTTGTAGGTCCTTGCTATTCATCACTTTGAATATTTCTTGCCACTTTCTTCTGGCCTGCATCATTTCTCCTCATACTCTTTTTTACATTTTGTTTAAAAAATGGCCATTCAAAGGCATGGACTATGTGTGGTTAATGCCAACTTGGCACTTCAGCTCAAGGCTAACCTTGATTGTCCTTCACAGTGAGTTAGTTCTCTGGCTGTGCAGATGACATTTTCATCAGGTTTTGGTCGAGCTGTCTAAGAGCAAGGGTCATCAGAGGTGTGAGTCTCAGAGGAGCCAGGTGTGGGCTGGCGCAGTTGTCACGCTTTGCAGGGGGATGAGAGTCAGATGGTTTGGAGCGTTTTAGATGGTCCTTCTGTCCAGGGGCATGGGCAGTTGTCCCAATGTTTCAGATAAGGAACTTGTCAAAGGGAAGGTAAGTGAATTGTCTGGATCAGGTCTACCCTTGCGATAGAGCTAAAACTAGAACTTAATTTCACAAGCTCGTACTGGTCATGGACAGTAAGGCCCACCATATATGGCTGCAGGATGGTGGGCCCTTGTCCTCCCAGGAGCGCTCAGTTTAGTAAGATGGTCAGACATTGTACTGCGCCATGTGTTATCCCAGTGTTAGGAACACAGGACCAGTGATATGTGTAAGCTCTGTTCTTCAGTGTGTATCAAATATCATAAAATAAAAACAAAAGTTAGCTCGGTGCAAGAGGGCCAAGAAGGCTTCCAGACGTGACATTTGATATCTGCAGCGGAGGTGAGAAAGGCCTTCAGAGCTGGAGCAAACAACTTGGTGTGTGGAGGAACAGTGCCAAGCCCAGTGTGGCCGGGTCTCCGCGTGTGGGCCTCAGGGTGGCAGGAGTCCGAGCCAGGCAGATAAACTGCAGGCAGACTGAAAACGCCCTTTTGTGACATGCTAACCAATCTGGATATGACACTGGAGGCTGTGGGGAAAGCTTTGGGCTTTTACTCAAGGGAGTGACAGGATCAAATGTGTTTTTTTAGAGCTCTTGTCAGCACTTGTGGAAGGTGGATTGGAATGAAGAAAGAGAGAATGAAGGTAGCAAGACCAGTGAGGAGGCTCTAGTAACTGTCCAGGTGAGAGCTGAGGGCTTGAACTAGAGTTGTGGCCATTTTTTCATTCATTCGACAGACTTTGATTACCTACTGTGTGCCTGGCACTGGGCCTACATTGGCAGATCTCTCTCTCTCTCTCTCTCTCTCTCTCTCTCTCTCTCTCTCTCTCTCTCTCTTACACACACACACACACACACACACACACACACACACACACACAGCAAATGGTGACTTGTGATGTAAAAGGAGATAGTGGGCCTGAGAAAGAGAAAATGGTGGCCACTGTAATTGGGAGGCAGAGAACATGTCTCAGACGTAGTGGTGTGCTTTCATCTGGGCTCACATGAGAAGGAGGCCAGTCAGGTAAGGGACTGGAGGTAGAGTGCTCCTGCAGAAAGAAGGGCAGGTGAAGGCCCAGGAGTGGGGAAGAACTTGGGACCCAGACAGCTGAGAGGATGGTATCTATACCTGGGGAGGGTGGTGCCACTTGAGGGCTTTGCCCTTTGAGGTCTGGCTCAGGTCTGCATCTTCACCTGAGCCGTGGGGTCCCAGAGAAGGGAGCAGGAGCGCGAGGCAGTCTGGTGGCGATTTTGAATATGACCCTGGCTGCTTCTTGGAAACCAAATCGGAAGGAGAGATGAACAAATTGTGGGTTCCTAGAGATCACTTTACCACCTGGATAAAAGGGAAGGAGTGGGTGTTGGGGAATGGAAGGAGAGGTCCAGTTCCATTCCGTACTTACTAAACCTGAGAGGCCAGAGGTGGTTGCATACATTCACCTGAAGCTCAAAACTAGAGGTAAAGATCTGGGGGTTGTAGCAGATACATAATAGTCACATTTCTGAGACTAGAAGAACAGTCTGTGAAGGAAATTTAGTAAGAGCAGCAACAGTGCTTGGACCAAGTCCTTATTGTACTCCGAGGCTCTGGCCGTCATATCATCCTGTCTCCAAAGGAGCTGTTAACACCAGCAGGTTATTACTGCGAATTTGCAGACTCGGCCCTTGGGCTCAGACACCAGCCCTTCACTGGCTGCTTGCTGCTGTGGCTCTGTTACTGCTGCTCCTCTCATCTGGAAAAGGGTAAGGACAGGGCCCGCCTGAGAGGCGTGCAAGTGAGATCTAGCAGAGGGTCTGGAGAGCGAGCCGTGGTGGCTATTCAAATTTCAGGTAGAGGGGAAACTCAGAGCGATCCATTCCCAGGGGCTGGAAAGAACAGTTTATTGGGAGGTGAGGCACTGGCATTTTTGAAGGAGAAACAGCAATTTCCAGAATGAGAAGGTCGGAGCAGGGCAGCCAGGCAGAGAATCCACATGCGGGAGACTAAGAATGGAGCTGCTTATCACAACTGTGGTGTCTGTCTCTCTCATTCTCCAGAGCACTTCTCAGCCACCGCTCCACACGCGTGGTGCACACACGCCCCAGTGGTGGTGATTCTGGTTATTCTGATGTTGCCTCCTTTTTGGAGGTGCCTGGTACATGCAAATACATTACGCACTTGGGTGGGTAGATGGCATGGGATTGTAAATTTCAGAAATCCACCTGAGATTAAAGGTAGATGGAAAGCTTTATATGGCAGTCAAGTAGATCTTAAAATGTGTTTTTTCCCCCCTATGAATTAAAATTTTTTTTTAAATGCCTCTAGAAACATTGGGGCCCAGAGAAGTACCAAGAAGAGGGAGACCATCACCTGTCACTCCCAGTGCTCACTGTTAACTTCATTTCTTTGTAAGACTCACAGTCAGTGTCCAGATGCCAGTGCCGTCACCTCCCAGTCTGGCCTCTGACCTGTTCAGTTCAGTTCAATTTACAGAGGCCAGTGCTGGCTGCGCCCAGGCCGTCCCGGTCACACTGGAGACCCTGGCTGTGGACCAGGGCCCTCTGGAGGAAGGAAGTACTGGTCCTTTCCGGCCTCCCTCAGGAGTGCTGGCCTCAGATCATTCGGTCCCTGGGTAGGTTTTAGGTTTCCGTTTGTAGCACTTGTATATGTCGTGCTCTTAAAAGTGTCTGATGAGACTCTTAAAAAAAAATAAAAAAAAAAAATATATATATTATATATTTTATTGATTTTTTACAGAGAGGAATGGAGAGAGCTAGAGAGATAGAAACGTCGATAAGATAGAAACGTCGATGAGAGAGAAACATCGACCAACTGCCTCTTGCACACCCCCTACCGGGGATGTGCCTGCAACCAAAGTACATGCCCCTGACTGGAATCGAACCCGGGACCTTTTAGTCCGCAGACCGACGATCTACCACTGAGCCAAACCGGTTTCGGCTGATGAGCTTCTTTTGAGAGTATCTTGACATACCTGATAAACTCCCAGAACCTGGAGATTCCCTTCATGTTAAGAGCATTCAGCCTCGTGGGGAGCACCCTGAGGGATAAGGGGCTTACTTTTTATTACTTGAGGTTATGATGTATTGGGGAGGAGGAGTTATAGGGACAGTTTCTATATAATGATAAACTTAGCCCTGTTCATCTTTATAAAAATGCTAAGTATTTCAGGATTGTAGCCATAGAATAGTACTTCAAAGGGTTTTCAAGTGTGTTTTCATTTTTGGATAATTCGTAAAATCTAAAAAAATCTTGTCATCTTGCCTTCTTTCTCAACTGATATGTAATAAGCCCCTCTGTTCTTGATTTTCTCCTTGTCACAGGGCCGGCACGTTGAGCAGGCTCTTTAGATCAAGTCCGGTTGAAGGGCATGGAGGAGACCCTGACTCCTGGGCCCTGTTAGCAGCCCAAGGCTGTGAATTTGCTCACTCCACCAGCTGCAGGCTCCTCTGTGCCTGTGCCTGTGCCTGTGCCCGTGCCCGTGGAGGGGGAAAGGGGGCTAAGCCTGGCCTTTCCCTTGCAACCTTCTGTCCAATACTGTCACAAGAGAGTGGTTCTGTGCATTCTTTGGTTTTGTTTTGTTGTTGCTTTTTTTAATCAAAGGAAGGAAATGAACACATAACGATCTCAGAGTTTTAACATTGATAAAAATGACATCTGACCCTCTTCTCCTTGGCTTTGAAGTAGCCTTTCCTAGGGCCTCCTGAGGGAGCCGCGCCTGCAGCTGCCCTTATTGTGGCTGCATTATGGCTTTTCCAGCAGCTGCTGTGGTTTTTGAATTGCTTGTTTTAGTATTTTTGTTATAAATTAATATCTGCATTTTAAAGAGCACACCCTCTCCCTCAAAATAACTTTTTCCTGCTTGTCATGTTGATGGTAGTGCAATAAAAGATTAAGTGCTTAGGAAGCTTCATTTAGCAGCGATGCTTGAATCTGGCAACAGAATGATGTTTATTCTTGCTTTTTACTAGTTCAGTACAGTTCAAAAATCTTATCTGTTAACGCCATTCATAATGGTAGTTTGGGTGTTTGGTTTTCACTGGATTGATAGAGGAAGTGGGACAGTTTCGTCGCCATCCAGATAGGGAGTGTGGGGGCCTTTAGTGAAGACTTGGGAGAGGTAAGGGTATGGGAACCCAGGGAAGGGATTCTGAAAAATCCAGATTTTGATTTTTTTATTTTATTTTATGAAAGTGATTACAAAAACAGGCCTTGCAGCATTTTGGAATTTGACTCTCTATTAGAAAGTCCAGTGGCTATGCCCGTTTCCTCTCAGTGACCTTAACTGCTCAGCCTTCCCTACTGTTCTTCCAGCTCCTCCCTGCCCTGCATTCCTCCTCCTCCTCTCTCTGCTCCTACCCACCAGTGTCCTCCCTGTTTCTCTCTCTGATCCCTCCCTGGTCTCTTCCTGATCTCCAGATTTGCTGCCCTCCCCTTCACTCCCCTCCCCTCCCCTGCCCAGAGCCACTTCCTCTCTGAGTCTCAAGTTCTGTCCCCTGACCTAGGAGGATTTTCATGTCCAGAGCAGAGCTCCTGCCTCTAAGCCACACCCTCTCCTCATAGACCTTCGGGTCCTTTCTCTGCTTCCCCAATATTTTTCCATGTAAGTAGGGTTTTATAGTTTCATACTCCTTTTCTTCCTTGGAGCTCTTAGGATGTCACAAATCTGGCTTTCACTGTTCCTTGCCTTCTACTCATTTTCATTAGCTGCCTGGATCTCTCACAGCTTAGTCTCCCCCTCCTCTTCATCCTTTTCACTCACTGCCTTCCCTGTCACTCAGGCTCAGAACCAATCACTTGTCACATGCCCACTTCATTCCCCACCTTCTACTCTACCCAGCCTAACCCATGCCTGCCACCTAGCCACTGGTCAAATTTAATGTCCTCTAACAGTTGTGGCCTCCTTACTGGTTCCTCCCCAGCCCAGCCCATCTTCTATTCTGTGCAATTGCCGGATTTCTACTGTAGACCACTACAGTCCCTCCCTGCCCTCACTTTATTGCCGTCCCTTCATCCCTGGCTTATTCTGCACAGCAATCATTACCATCAGGTCTTGTATATTTCACCGTCGTCTTATCCCACTGAAGATAAATTCCATGCTGGGAGGGGTGGGAAGGGAGAGAGATAGAGAGTTAGAAACATCGACGAGAGAGTGTCATCGATCAGCTGCCTCTTGCACACCCCCACCGGGGATACGCCCGCAACCAAGGTACATGCCCTTGACCGGAATCAAACCCGGGACCCTTCAGTCCCTAGCTGACGCTCTATCCATTGAGCCAAACCGGTCTCGGTGGTGTCTGACTGTTTAATCAGTGCAGATAATATAGCAGTGATACCACCTTCCTATGGGGAAATGGATGCTGCTACTTACACGACTGATGGGAGTGTAGTTGTCTTCTGTGGGAGGTAATTTGGCGATATCTATAAAAATTATAAATGCGTATACTTTTTGACCCAGGTATTCCACTGAGATTTTATCCCACATATCAGGTGTACTGGTTAACAGTGTGGATTTTGTTATCAACGAAAACACGATAATTTCAAGAGAAACATCAAAAGTGCTTTATTCAAAGTAATGTCCATCGCTAGCCACACATTTCCCCCATCTTTCAGGTAATCTGTGGATACCGTCCCAATAGAACTTTTCTTGTTTTGAGGCAGACCATTCAGAGACCCATTTGTCCACTTCTTCGTATGTGTTAAAGTGCTGCTCAGAAAGTACACGTGTCATCGATCAGAAGAAGTGGTAATCTGAAGGTGGGTTAATACTTCTCAGGCAAGATCTTTGAACATGTATTTAACTGGTTTTGAATTGTGTGATGGTGTGTCATCATGAAGCAAAATTACCTTGCTGTGTCTTCTGGCCCATTCTAGTCATTTTACGGTCAAAGTGTGGTTTAAATTGATTATTTGTTGTCGGTAGCAATCAGTATTAATGGTGTCACTTGATTTTAGAAGCTCATAATACACCACACCTTCCTGATCCCACCAAACGCAGAGAATTGTCTTCTTGAAGTGAGTTGGCCTTGCAGTCCATGTTGATGGTTGACCTGGATCAACCCATGATTTTGTGCATTTGGGATTTTCAAAATACACTTTTCATCGTCAGTCACAATTTGATTCAAAAAAGACTTTCATTCGTGCTGTTGAAGCAACATTTTACTGATGACTTTTCAGTTTTCCATTAGTTGATGCAACACCTATTTTCCTTTAAAATATTTCCCATTGCTTGTAAATGGTCAGAAATTGTTTGCTAAGAAACGTTTAATCTTTCTGAAAGTTGTTTTTGAGTTTTACTCACATCTTCATCCAATAATGCTTATAATTGTTCGTCTTCAAACTTTTTTGGTTGAGCGGGACGTTCTTTGTCTTTCACATAGAAATCATCACTTTTAAAGGGTTTAAACCAGCGTTCACTAGTATCTTGAGATGGAGCATGTTCACCATAAGCTTTCCGAAGTATACGGTAACTTTCAGCAGTACTTTTCTTCATAATAAAGTAATGAAGCCGCAAATGCTCTTTTTTTGACATGAAATTTGACATTTTTAAGTGTAAAAACATCTATGATGTTAACACCTTCAGCAAATTTGACATATGAAGTTTTGAAGCTTGTCAATACAACAAAATAGCATACATATCAAATCGCATATATATCAACATATGTGTAACTCCATCTGTTGAAAAAAAATCCACATGTTTAACCGGTACACCTACTATATGTGAAAAATGCCCTGTGTACAAGGGTATTATTGCTACACTAGAGGCCCGGTGCATGAATTCGTGCACCAGTGGGGTCCCTTAGCCTGGCCTGCGGGATTGGGCTGAAACCGGCTCTTTGACATCCCTTTACAGGGTCTTGTATTGTGAGAGGGCACAGGCTAGGCCCAGGGATCTTACTTGTGCACGATTGGGGCCAGGGAGGGCTGCAGGAGGTTGGTCAGCCAGGGAGGGATTGTGGGAGGGCTCCAGAGTGTATCAGGCCAGTCTCGCTCAGTCCTGATCGGCTGGACTCCAGCAGCAAGCTAACCTACCAGTTGGAGCGTCTGTCCCCTGGTGGTCAGTGCACATCATAGTGAGCAGTTGAGTGGCCTTAGCATATCATTAGCATATTATGTTTTGTTTTGTTTTAAAAAAAATATATTGGTTTTTTACAGAGAGAAAAAGAGAGGGATAGAGGGTTAGAAACATCGATGAGAGAGAATCATCGATCAGCTGCCTCTTACCCCCTACTGGGGATGTGCCCGCAACCACATGCCCTTAACCTAACCGGAATCGAACCTGGGACCTTTCAGTCCGCAGGCCGACACTCTATCCATTGAGCCAAACCGGTTTCGGCAGCATATTATGTTTTGATTGGTCGAACGGACGGCTGAACACTTAGCATATTAGGTTTTTGTTATATAGGATAAATACTTGTCAGCCAGGGACTCTTAAATGATAGTATACTCATGTAATTGCATACTCTGCAGCATAAAGAAAGCTGTTTTTGTGCCCATGCAGACAGATGTGTGGAAGTCTCTGGATGAGAAGGCAGGGATGCAGACCTTGCATGGTGTGCTCTGGCATGAAAAACGAGAGTACACAGGTTCATATTCTTGTCCACGCCCAAGGACACTGGACAGAGAAGCGAGAAGCTGCTAGTATTGACAGGCCGATGTCATTGAGGATCCTACTGTATGCTTTATATGAATGATGAATGTATTATCTAATAAATAAATGAAAGCTAGCCTTGCAGGTTATTGTAAGAACTAAAGAGCATGTACAGAGCTTGGGCCTGGGCCGGGCATGCACAGTAGATTCTCCATACTTGCCCCTGTGTTTGAGCACACAGACAGAGTTGGACCCGTGATTGGTTTACAGTTGCTTAAACTGGCATGCCTGGTGCACAAGTGCTGGAGTGTGCACAGGTGGCCACAGGACACGGAATGTGGGCTCAGGTTTTTGTCCGTGAGGTGCAGTGACGTGTCCACGTACAGTAGTCGCAGTGAGCTGCTTAATATGGAACGAAGCTTTTCACTGTGCTTGTCATCCCAATAGCACCTAGTTTATGATGGGCTGTAGTTACCCGTCGTACCTCAGAGTTGCAGAGCAGCACGGTTCTTACTTGACAGTATTGTAATTTCGAGTTCTAATGGAATTGTGTTGTGTTTGTTTAAGCCAAGAGTAAAATCTTCTCCTAACCATAGTGCTACAAGTTTTTATGTCTGTCCTTAGCCCGGGCTAGTTTGGTTCATTGGTTAGATTATGGGCCCCAGATCGAAAGGTGGAGGGTTCCATTCGAGGTTAAAGGCACGTATCTGGGCTGTATGCAGTTTCCTCAGCCCCAGTAGGCACATGTGCATGAGGCTATCAGTCAATGTTTCTTTCTCTCTCTCTCTCTCTCTCTCTCTCTCTCTCTCTCTCTCTCTCTCTCTCTCTCTCTCCCCCCTCCCTCCCTCCCTCCCTCCCTCCCTCCCCCCTCCCTCTCTCCTTCCCTCCCTCCTTTTTCCTCCTCTCTCTCTCTCCTTCCTCCCCTCCACGAAATCAATGGACAAAAAATGCTTGGGTGAGGATCGAAAAGAAAGTTCCACATGTGATAGAGGGACAGTGGCGTGATTGTGGGAAAACAGGTTTGACTTGGTTGTGGGGACATGGGAGGTGCTGGGCTGCCTGACCAAGCCACCCATGGGGGGTGGGAAGTGGCCACCCTTAGACACTGGGCGAGCAGGCCAGTCACCTTCATGGGGTCAGGAATGCTGAGCAGCCTGGGCCTGATGGGAACAGCAAGGTCTGGCCTGGCCTTGCAAGTTCCCTGTGACCTTGTGTGGATGAAATGGTGACAGGCGTGGGGAGTCCCGCTGGGGCAGCACTGGCTCTTAGGCCGTACAGTTCATTAATCTCCTTGAAAAACCCAGGTTTTTATTTTCTGTAAAAGTGCAGCACACACAGCAGAGTGATGAGAAAGTGCCTGCTCTTGGCGGGGTTCAGGGGTCCCAGCCAGCGAGGTGAGGGCATCAGTTGCTAGAGGGGTGGCTTCGGAGGATGTTTGACTCTCCTAACCTGTGCCTGTTAAAGAAATGGTTGGTCAGTGGACCAGTAGTGAGCACGGAGTAGCAGGGCCGTGATCGGGCCCATACTCTTGAATTAGTCACCTATCTGTCCTCTCCCCCCCCCCCCCCCCCTTATTTTCCTCTTGAAATTCTTTATTGCCTGTTTCTTAAACACCACCTTGTTCCGGAGGAGATGAGGAAGGATTGTCTGTAAAGGGACTCCCAGGACAGCGGCCCCAAGGAGGAAGCCTGCTCCAGGGCCGCAGTGGAGCCAGGGTGTGTGTGTTGAGTCCTGTGTGCTGTTGGCAGGGCCTCCCCCCTCTGGGAACAGCTCAAGCAGGGCAGGCGCAGTCCGCTCATGGCTGACGGGAAGACCAGCACTGCAGGTCCTCACAGGACGCTGTGCAGGTGCAGTGCCTCATGACCCAGAGCCTCCTAGTGGAAGAAATGCCAAGTGCTCGGGCTGTCCCCTCCAGCGTGGCCAGCACCTGGCACAATGGCTGTTGAATCATCAGCTCCCTCTGTGAAGGCCAGAGCCTCACACCCAAGTGCAGTTATAGGAAGTCTTTGTTCAAGCGGCCAGAAGGCTCTTCGCTGGTGCGGTTGGTCACGGGAGAGAGTGGCATGCCCGGGCGACTTGTCCCTTGTCACCGAGCAGCAGACAGCTTTCTTGCTGGAACATAGACAGTTAAGCTGCCCATTGTGATAACGTGTTCTCCTTTGTCTTCACAGAGACTAATAGACAAGTCACGAGTAACCTGTGTCAAATGGGTTCCTGGTTCGGAAAGCCTTTTCCTAGTAGCCCATTCGAGTGGGAACATGTACCTGTATAATGTGGAGCACTCTTGTGGCACCACAGCCCCCCACTACCAGCTCCTGAAGCAGGGCGAGAGCTTCGCCGTGCACACTTGCAAGAGCAAATCCACGAGGAACCCTCTCCTCAAGTGGACGGTGGGCGAGGGGGCCCTCAACGAGTTTGCTTTCTCCCCAGATGGCAAGTTCTTGGCGTGCGTGAGCCAGGACGGGTTTCTGCGGGTGTTCAACTTTGACTCTGTGGAGCTGCACGGCACCATGAAAAGCTACTTTGGAGGCTTGCTGTGTGTGTGCTGGAGCCCGGATGGCAAGTACATCGTCACGGGGGGCGAGGATGACCTGGTGACAGTCTGGTCTTTTGTAGACGGCCGAGTGATAGCTCGAGGCCACGGGCACAAGTCCTGGGTCAGCGTGGTGGCGTTTGACCCCTACACCACAAGTGTAGAAGAAAGTGACCCTATGGAGTTCAGTGGCAGTGACGAGGACTTCCAGGACCTGCTCCACTTTGGCAGAGACCGAGCAAACAGTACCCAGTCCAGGCTGTCCAAGCGGAACTCCACGGAGAGCCGCCCCGTCAGTGTCACGTATCGGTTTGGCTCTGTGGGCCAGGACACGCAGCTCTGCTTGTGGGACCTCACGGAAGATATCCTTTTCCCCCACCAGCCCCTCTCCAGGGCACGGACACACACAAATGTCATGAACGCCACGAGCCCTCCGGCCGGGAGCACTGGGAACAGCGTCTCGACGCCCGGCAGCTCTGCGCCCCCCCCTCTCCCGCGGTCCAACAGCCTCCCACATTCCACTGTCTCCAACGCCGGCAGCAAGAGCAACGTCGCCGACGGGGCCATCGCGTCTGGGGTCAGCAAATTCGCAACACTTTCCCTACACGACCGGAAGGACAGGCACCACGAGAAAGATCACAAGCGCAACCACAGCATGGGACACATTTCTAGCAAGAGCAGTGACAAACTGAACCTCGTTACCAAAACCAAAACGGACCCCGCTAAAACGCTGGGCACGCCCTTGTGCCCTCGAATGGAAGACGTTCCCTTGTTAGAGCCACTCATCTGTAAAAAGATAGCACACGAGAGGCTGACTGTGTTGATTTTCCTTGAAGACTGTGTAGTCACTGCTTGTCAGGAGGGGTTTGTTTGCACATGGGGAAGGCCTGGCAAAGTGGTAAGTTTGAATCCTTAACGCTGCCCCAGACCGAGGACTTGAGTAGGTAGTGATTTTTTTCCTTGTGGGAGGGGTGGGTGTACAATGAATGAATGACACTTCTTAATGTAAATCTAAATGCATCAGAGCCATACTTTTGGATACTGCATGCCATGTAATTCTGAATCATTTGATAATTCACCTTAGAATGTTTAAAAAATATAATCAAACTAATTGCCAGCCAAGTCCGACACCCTCCTGGGAGTATATAGAGTCCCAAGGTGAGCGCTCCTGTCTTAGACTATTTCGATTTTAGGAAAATCATGACAGTGTGGGGAAACAATGAATTAAAAAGCTAAAATTAAAATTTCTGCTTTAACTGGAATATTTTTGCTTAACTACTCAATTAGACAATTGTACACCTGATCAGAGCGTGTTCGCACGGACGGCCACTGACTGTCATTTATAGTCCAGTTTTTTATCTTAATCATAAAATGTTTAGGAATCTATGAAATTTAACTTTAGGAACAAAGCGTTCAGCAGGGTTGATTGATATTATTTTTACATTGTTCTGGCAATCCACAGAAAGAGAAGAGCCTTAATTTTTAAAACCCATTTTAGTCATTTTATGACAATTAAAATTGTTTAATAAACATCTTTTTTCAAAGAAGCAGTTTGTACCACTTTGATTGAGATTCTGTGCACTAAATAAAATACCCACGTTCCTCAAGCCTGGGCGGTTCCTGTGAACTGCGGGCCGAGGTTGCCCACCGCACGTGTCAGAAGTGCCTCTTGCCACGGAAGCCAAGACCTTTCCTGTCTAGTGCGCTTTTGCTTGTTTTTTTTCCAACAAGAAAAAGGTTTCATTTTCTTTCGGGGCAGATTTTGTTTTGTTTTTACTTCTTGGGAGGTTTTTTTTGTCACGAAGGCTCATGACTGTAGGCCCTGGGCAGCTTCTTAGCTTTGTTTTGTACAGACTGACAGACCCTCCTGATCCCCTCCTTGTCTCTCAACCTCTCCCCCCTTGCCCCGGCAGTCCAGGTTTGGTTTTCACACTAGAGGGGAAGTCCAGCTGCAGGGTGCCCCTTATTGTCGGATGGTGATCCTTCCAGGGTCATTCTTGGGATGCTGACACTGGCCTGACCCTCAGGCTCCCATCCCAGCACCTCACCCTGAGCCCAGGTGCCTACTGGATGGACCCGCTGCTCCGGGGAAACTGCGGTGTTTGGTCCTGAGTCCCTATGACCCTTCTCAGCTGTGGAGGAGACAAATCCCAGCTTTCACACGGATGCGATGGTTCTTTGAGCGCTGTGTTTTATGTCAAGATGACGATTATCTGGTTTATTAACTTATTTTGGTCATTTAGGTTTGTCCTGTTTTGCACACTTTTGTAATTAAATATAGCGATGCTGATAACTTATGCTGGTTTGAGTAGTGAATGCCATTCAGCGAAGTGAAGACCTGGATGTTCAGCTCTGATGTGTGAGGCTCTGTGCGCTCTCAGTGTGCTCTCCCGGGAAGGCCACCCACACCTCACCCGTCACGCTCCCTAACGCAGGTGGTGTCTGTCACCGTGGTCACAGTGGCCGCGTTCTGCCGCAGGAGGGCCCGGGTGGCCTTCAAGGGGCACCTCCCCGTTGATGCATTACAGCCCGTGGGGATGGTGACATCCCCTCTACCAATTGTTAGACGTGGCCCTTTGTCCCTAAACGTCCATGTTCTAAGGTAGCAAAGACAGTGCCCATGGACTGGCAACTTAGGAGGCTGCCAGCTGGGGAGATGAGGAGCCAACACTCCATGTGCAGTTTTATGTTCCCACCTAGTTTTAGAAATCCCGTCCCAAAGGCTTCTGAGGCATTGAGCGGTTTGAAAATGCAGGCTTTTGTGTTTGGTCTAAGTGGAGAGTGGCTGCTCCCAGGGGAAGATTACGATGTCCTTGCACTTCCCTCGCACCGCTCATGGCATGACTCACACTCGGCACTGGGCGCTTTCTGGTTCTTCCTGCCCTTCAGCACCCTCAGCTGCGCCGGCTGCAGTGAAGGAGGGGCTGCTGGTGCCCTGGCAGGCCACCTACCTAAGAGACACTTGGGTGAGGGTAAGAGGAGGGTATTGTTCCTTTTAAAAACTCCAAAGTGTGCTCACAGGAGCCAGTGGTGCCTGTCTCTTCCACCACTCACCCTGCCAGGCTCCTGACCTTTTCTCGTTCTTCCAGTTCCTGCTGGTGTGGGATCCTATCTGCCTGTCCGGGAGGCTGCCCGGGGCCCCTGCTGGGTGTCAGGTGCTGGGGAGGCACAGGCTTCCGCTCTTCTGATACCTGCCCCCCTTTGACAGCCCGCAGAGCCCCTCTCCTGCAGGCGGGAGGCGGGAGGCGGGAGGCGGGAGGACCAGCTTGAGGAGAAGAGGTGCGGTCCAGGGCAGGCAGTTCCTCCCATTCCCCTCAGACCCGCTCCAGTACTGGTTCCTGCAGACCTGGTGTGACAAGAGGGGCAGGAGGGGAGGCGACTGGAGTGGTGGGTTCTGACCGGGTGGATGAGGCACTAAGAGAAACCTGGGGAGTGTTTTCATAGTTTTCTTCCAAATGTGAGCTTCCTCAGTGAAAATTTTCAATTTCTAGCTTAAACACTGTCCTTTCTCACTGCCCTCTGCAATGAAAGGCATGGGCAAGAGGAGGCGTTACCACTCAGTCAGCAAGCTCCTCTGTCTGCATGGAAGGGAAGCAAGGGTGGAGGCAGGGGCAGGAGAGAGGCCCAGAGGCCGCAGCTGGCTCCTTCCTGGCAGTATGCCTGCCACTCAGCTGGCTCCTTCCTGGTAGTATGCCTGCCACTCTCCGGCCACGGCCAGGCAGCCGGGCGTCGCCGAGGCAGCTCTGGCCCCACTGATGGGGCAGGGCAGGATGATTCAGAATCTCCTGAGGGCTAGAGACACAGCCTTGATGTAAAGCAAGTATGTAAAAGGGAATAGACAGCCACTTTTAAACAACCAGTAACTTTCAGTAACTTTACATTCTAAATTTACTTAAACAAATAGTGGTTAAGAATCTTAATTTTGTCTTTTGTGCCAATTGAACCTTCTGACATTTTGGAGTGTTCTCCTGTGAGCCACTGGCTTGGGACTAAGAAGAGTAAATGCCTTAGGTTAGAGGGATGGACGAGTGCAAAGACAAGTCAGTCACAGCAGAGATGATTGTCTCAGACCTTCAGAAACCTCTGTCAGCACGCCACGAGGAGCCCCACGGCACTTCCCAGGTTTTGCAGGCACGTGGGGGTGTCCCTCCCAGGGTACCCCGGCTCGGCTCTGGCCAAGTCCCAGCTGGCTGGTAGCCGGGAAGCCACTTCTCCCTCATTCCTCCACTTCCAGGGTTGCATCTTGAATTTGTAAGAAATTGTCAAGTTTCATGTTCACACTGCAGTCCATGAGGCCGCTGGATCAGGTGGCTGTGCCATCAGGTGGCTGTGCCGGTGTACAAGGGTCACGTCACCTCTTGCCTGGGAAGGAGATGTGATCTGTTTGTTCAGGAAGCTCAAGGGGTGAGGGGTCAGGAGGGCGAGGGAACCCTGTGCCCCATGTTGTGTTTCTGACTGCCCGAGGAAGCGCTAAAAGTGGAGTTGGACTTCGGGTTTGCAGGAAAGATGCGGGAGAGCTCGGCCCTGGGGACCGGTGTGGGGTGGACCAGCGGAAGCAATGGGCCTTCGTTGTGACACCTGCCATCATGGGCTCGGCAGTCTGGGAGCGGAGGCCAGGACCGCAGAGAAAAGCACTTGTATTCAGCTGTTCCCCTCCGAACCCAGAGCCCAGCTCACACGTGGGAACACACCCCTGGTGGCGGGAAGCCGCCCACAGGCGCTGGCTTCACCCGTCGCGGCATCTGTTACATGATGTGTGTGTCCGAAGTTGCTGTCTCTCAATGGGAAAGTGTAAAAGGTTTTGCATATTTTATTTCTGTATGCCTAAGTTTATTAAAGATTATGTTAGGTGACACTGTATAAAATTGTATGAATATTTATTTTTAGTGAAAATCAAAAGTAAAAATTTGTATGTATTTCCTTTTTTTATATTTTCATCTAATTTCTTGACAACTTGAATAAATTTCACAAAGAGCCTTCCTAACATGAAATGCTGGTAAATGCAGTTCTTCACTGTGGCAGTAGTGAATGGCGCTTTAGTGTCAGTGTTGTTACTTAACCGTTTTAAGAAAACCACATTGGCGTCCCTGCCTTGGTGTTCGCTGTCCCCATCTCACTGTGACAGCGAGAGACTGCGGGTTGCCTTTGGGACTGACGTTAAATAAAAGTGTGAATGATAAATGTAGATAATTTTCACTGTCACTTTGACAGCTAAGCTTTATGAAACCCCAATGATCCCAAAAGGCAGAGCGTGCCCAGGCTGTAAGAGTAAGGGCCTCGGTAAGGTGGACCAAGCGGACACGGGGATGGCTACCTCTTGTCCCTGCTGTTTCTTGTGATGAGAAACGTAGAGGGAACCTTTGTTCCGAGTATCAGAGGTCGTGGGTGTCCTACGTGGGGAAGGACTGGCCTCAGCCAGCTGTGGGGAGGCCTGCTTCAGGAGGCAGGTTGTCCTGGGCCGCCATCGCTGTGCTGAGCACAGAGGTCGGCCCCCAGCTCTCTATTCAGCACCCCCTCGCCCCTTCTGTCAGCGGGGAGAGGGGGAACCTGGCTGCTGGGGCAGGGGCGCTTTTCCTGGGAGAGTGCAGTTCGCTCAAGGCTCAGGAACCAAACGCTGGGGGGGTCGTCCTGCCTGAGGCTGCAGCATAGGAAGAACTTCATAGGCAGGATTTGGGTGGGCAGGGGGGGGGCATGGGAGAGATGTCCCTGCAGGAGGAAGGGGGGCCGTTTGTGGTGTCCTACTGTGAAATGTCCCTCCAGTCAGGTGATCTGAGCAGCACCCTGGTACCTCTGTCCCTGAGCTCTTCAAGGCAGGAGGCCCAGGCCTGGGCTGCTGGTCCCCAGAGGGCAGGGGAAGTAAAGGTGAGATGGCTCCTGGGCAGGGCCTGGTGCCCTGCTCGTCCTGTCAGGTCCCTGCTGTGTCCGGAGATGCCCGGGCCTGGGGCACAGCTGGCAAGGCTGCTGGAAGGGAGCTGCCTGCGTCTGCCTCCCTCCAGGTGGGCAGCCACCGCTCAGCGACTCCAGAGGCTTCCTGCCACCGTCCTCCGAGCCTTCAGCTCCCGCCTTCAACTCCGAGCTGCCAGGCGCAGCCAGACATCGCACCTTCGGAGTGCCCTGCTCGGACCCCCTACCACAGGATCAGGTACTGTTCCTCGGCACGGAGTCGGTTCTGAGCCCTTCACACGGCTAGGTCTGCAGCAAATTCAGAAGGACACACACTTTCTATCCTTAAAAATAGTTTGTACTATTTTTATAACTAGAAGAAATATTAAGTCCATTCTTCCAGGAGTGGCTGCCTGTGGAAAGAAACAGCTGGCTCTGGTCTCTTGAAAGAGGCCCTTAGTGTCGGCCTCGAAACCGGCCTCTCAGTGGTTTCGGGTGGAGGCCAGCTCTGGGACTCCGGAAGGGCCTCGAGCTAGAAAGACTTGGAGGATCAGGAGGGGTTCATCCCTCCTGCCCGCTGAGCAGAGAGGTTTCAGAGCCGTAGTTAGCCACACAGTTAATTCTCAGAGGTTACAAAGATTTTGAATGAGCCTGGCCGGTGTGGCTCAGTGGTTGAGCATAGTCCCATGAATCAAGAGATCATGGTTTGATTCCCAGTTCAGGCACATACCCAGGCTGTGGGCTCAGTCCCCAGTAGGGGGCTTGCAGGAGGCATCCAATCACTGATCCTCACCTCTCCCCTCCTCTCTCTCTCTAAAAATCAACAAAAACATTTAAAAATTCAGCTGAAACCGGTTTGGCTCAATGGATAGAGCATCGGCTTGGGGACTGAAAGGTCCCAGGTTCGATTCCGGTCAAGGGCATGTACCTTGGTTGCAGGCACATCCCCAGTAGGGGGTGTGCAAGAGGCAGCTGATCAATGACACTCATCGATGTTTCTAACTATCTCTCTCCCTTCCTCTCTGTACAAAATCAATAAAATATGTTTAAAAAAAACATTTAAAAATTCATACATACATAAAAGTAAGTGCTGCTGAATTCAATGAAGGGGCCTGCCTCTGAGGGGCTGGGTGTGCAGTACTCTGGGGCCCTGAGCTGGGGAAGGTGGGGAGGTGGGGAGGCCGCCCTGGCAGGTGCCCCTCACCTTAAGGCCAATGATGTCCCAAGGAACCAGGCCCTGAGAGCCCACGTTGTCCCCCAGCCACTGGCCCCGAATCCAGGCAGAACTGGGTTTCAGGGGTTCTGGATCCAACCAGGCAGCAATGCCAGGAAAGACCTGGACAGAATTCAGTAGGTGAACGTGGAGGACCTGTCACCACGGGCTCCTAACCGGCAGGAGTCTGTTCCGATGGCGTCCAACAGTGAGGTGAGTGGCTGGGACCCTCCGAGGCCCTGTGTGCTGGGTTCATGTACCCTGCTTTGTTTGCAGCGTTTGTCATCATCCCCAAACCAGGCCCTGTCCCCAGGTGACACTGTCATGTAGCGACCCACTACTGCTCAGAAACTCTCACCCGGACCGGGTCTCAAGGGAGTGTGACGATGCAGGCACTACGAGCTGCCCTTCAGCCACACGTGGGAGGCGCGTGTCGCCCGAATCATGAGGGGAGGGGTCACTCAGAGCAGGGCTCATCTGAGGAGGTTGTTTCTATTTTAAATCATTCTTTGGGGGCTGCAGTGAGAAATGAGAAATGAGCCCTGGCCAGTGTATCCCAATGGTTAGAGCGTTGGCCCTAGCACCCAAGGGTCACAGGTTTGATTCCCGGTCAAGAGCACATACCTGGGTCACAGGTTTGATCCCCAGCCCAGGTCGGGGCACAAAGCGGTATCTCTCACATGGATGTTTCTCTCTCCGCCTCCCACAGTATATGTCCCCCCTGAACTCCGCCAACACCCCAGTCCCTTCCACTCTCTAAAGACCAATGGGTAAAATGTTCCTCAGGGGAAGATTAACCCAAACAATAGTGAGTGAAATTTTCCTGCTTTTTACTTTGAGATTCAATGTAATTAAAATCTCATATATATGTGAAATATATATATACGCTCAGTATAAATAACCCAACTGTTACAACTGTTACTTGTCTCCTTTTGCAGTCAGTAGCAGTCGGGCTGTCTGCTTCAGCCCCAGCTGCCCCTTCAGCAGAGCTCAGGAGGCCCCAGCACTCAGCAGGCACTCAGTAGACTGTGGAGTGAGCGAGTTGGACAGGATGGTGGCCGTAGACGTGTGAGATTTCTCCCTTCTAGAGTTCTGCGATGGGAGCCATTTAACAGCATTGCCCAGAAAGGCTTCAATGGCCTCGCCGTCATCAAGCTTTCGAGTTTGGAGGGCAGACCTTGCCAGGGTCTGGCGGCAGCCGAGGAGGCCTCCTGTGCCCTAAGCCCTGGCCGGCACCTGCCCATGCGGGCCCGCAGACAGGCACAGTGCCAGGGCTACTTCAGCTGCCTGGAGACTGGCTGCCCAGCCAAGAGCAGGAGGATGTGAGCTCCTGGCCACGCAGGAAGCCTGCTCTCCGGACTGCGGGAGCCTGGACTTGCTTTGTGCACGGATGTTCAAGCCCTGCCGTGGGCCAGGGAACCACGCTGCCCCTCCGTGGAGGCAGGCTTGTGGGGACGTGCCCCTGGGAGCCAGGGGAGGGGGTGCTTCAGAGCTTGTTTGTTTCAGAGGCCAAATGCAACGAAAGGGCCTTATTTGATGGGCAGCTCTCGTCCTTCTAGGGCCTGGCCTCCTCGGAGAGCCCCCAGCCCGCTGCCCTCGCCTTGACGGCGACTATTGCAGAGGCGGGGCTGAGGGTTCCTGAGAAGCAGCATCCAGAGTTTGCTCTCTCAGGTGCGCAGAAAACCTTTCAGATTAGATGTACTTACAGGGGGTAACAGTTTTCCTGAACCCAAACACCTGTTAGTCCTTAAATGTGCGCCCAGAGACTCTTTGGGGCTGTCTGGTGGCCCCACCCCATGGACTCAGTGTGGGCCCGCCCACCTCTTCGGGCCCTAGCACCTGCTCACACCTCTGGCGCATCTCCCTGGCCTCACCTCGTTGGGCCCAGCACCTCGTTTCTGGTCCTGCCTGTCTGTGACCCTGTCTCTGCTCCCACATGACCCAGAACTCCACCTTGAAGCCCGCTGTGGACTTCAATGGGTCTAAAAAGCAGCTCTTTCCAAACCTTCCCGAGTGAACGTCACCCAGCTCTGAATGTCCCTGTTAAGCCTTGAACCGGCCCTCCTGGGCATCTCTGCCCCACGCGGCCCCACCTGTGTCCACGCTCATGCCCGTCCTCTGCCTGAGCCTGTAAAATGCTGATTCCACCTGCCCCTCCTGTGGCTGCCACGTCCACCCTCCACAGCCCAGGTGTGCGGTCACTGGTTCTGCTGCCCCAGCTGTGAGGTGGACGGGAGGCGGTGGCCACAGGAGAGCTCAGAGCCGTGTCAGATCTGTCTTAAAGGAGAACAGGAAGATGGAAAACCAGCTCAAGAAATGTGCTTTAAACATTAATTGGAGAAGAGAAGAAGGAACACTCAGTGCCTAGGTTACAATGACCAAAAGGGGGCTCCACAGGGTCTTTGCTCTGCCGGCGGCCGGGCCCACACCCTGCCCTCCGGCCCCCCGCGTCTCTGCAGCACCAGCTCCACAGGGACAGGTTTCTGCTGTGCCCACTTGTTGTCGGTGCCCTCAGCCCAGCAGGAAGCAGCTTGCTTTTCTCAGGAGCCCTGCCCGCGTGCCCAGCACCACCGTGCCAGCTGCAGCTCCCTGGGTGGCACCGGCCACAGCTCCCTGGGCTTCCTCTCAGGGCTTCTCCAGCGAAACAAAACCGAGCCGCACCCAAGATCAATCCTCCATCTGTTCTCAAAAGCTAAAACAAAGGACGGGGTGGTGACATGGTCAGTGCAAACGGTACCACAAGGAACTGCTGTGACGAGGGCTATTCTTTAATGAAAGTCAGCCTATCCTCACGCAGCCACGTGCTACAGTGCTCTTGGCGATGTGCTGGAGCCCACGCGGAGCCCGCGGGGAAGCCAAGCCTAAACAACAAATATAAACTCTAACGTCTGTGTGGATTCATATAAAAATACAAAAGATTTCCTGTCTCAAAGTCTTCGGTTACAAAAGTGAAATGGCACCCTCGGGGGAGGTGGTTTTACACGTGTATTAGAGCGAACATACAGTCCGGCTGCCTTCGGCTGGAGTGCGGGCTGGCGGCCCCAGGCCGTCGTGCCGCTGGCGTGTGCACTGCGCTTGCCGGGGCCCGGGGCGCCAGGCCTGGAGGGCCGAGCCCGCGCTGATGCTCCAGGGTGAGCTGGACGCGCTGCTCAGTACCCCCCGCCTTTCCGTTCGATCGTGGGCAGGTGGTACTGCTTCAGGTTAGGCTTGATGTCCTTCTGTGCATCTGCCTGCAAAGGAGATGACAGGCGGTCAGTGGAGGCCAGGATGGCGGCGGGAGCAGCGCTGGGGGGAGCCAACGAGGCGCTACCTTCTGGTTTGCGGCCCCACACTTCAGGGGTCTCAGCATCGGGACCTTCCCGCTCCCGCCGGGTCTGAACACCGTCTGCAGCGCCGGGCTGGAGTACGAGAGCTTGGTGGCCCCGGGGAGCTTCAGCTGCGGCAGCTCCATCAGGTAGGCTGGGCCTTGTCTGCGGGGCCGGCTCTCCTCCTGCTTCAGGGGCTGTTTCTGGAAACAAAACACAGGTCAGCTGAGCACACGTGGTGTGTGTCTCCACGGCAACCAGGGGAAACAGAGGTTCTTTGGTGCCACTTCTGCCTAAGGAACTTCTTGACCATGAGGTGTGACTAGACAGCAGGCGTCCTGGCCACCCCAAGTGAGGTGGCCCCACAGCGGGCGGGAGGCGCCCGCCCCTCAGGTGGGTGTATGTGGGTCTGGGCCCCGGTGCAGCCACGGGGCTGGCCAGCCTGCGCTGGGGCCAAGCCGAGGCCGTGGGGGTCCTACTGCCAGCTCCCAGGTCAGCCAGCCTGCAGCCTCCTGCTTTTGTGCGGCTGATGAACTAAGAGTGGCTTTTACTTTTTTTGTAGTTGAAAATACTTCCATGGCATGAAAAGTCTATGAAATTCTAATGTCAACATCCACAGTTTTATGGGAATACGTGAGCTCATTTTTCATCTTCCTGTCCCTTCTTTTAAGACAGATCTGACACCCCTCTGAACTCTGCTGTGGCCACCGCCTCCCGTCCACCTCCCCCCACCATTCCTTTATGCATTGTCCCTGCGGGCAGCTGAGATGAGGCCGTATGGCCGCAAAGCCTACAGGGCTTGCTCTGTGGCCTTGCAGACAAGCGTGGGCATGGGCCGGGCGCCCAGAGTTCCGGAAAGCAGCCTGGCTGCAGGTGCATGCGTGGCCCCAGCCCCGCTCGCAGTGACAGCAGGAAAAGCAGGGACAAGTGGATGTGACACTGACTACAATCCTGGGGGCTGAGCACATGGCACGTGGACAGAAATGAAGGTGTTGCCAAAGGAGGCTGTCCTTTCTAAGCCGCTCTGACAGGGAGGAGCACTCGTCTGGAGCCTGAGGGGCTCACGGCTCCGGCCAAGCAGACGGCATGCTCTGGGCAGTCACTGGCGAGCAGGGTCACTGGGCCGGTGTGTAGCTCTCTGTGCCCCTTGGGTGGGTGTGAGGGTACAAGGAGTAACCCCTGGGCTGGAGGAACCCCACTGCCCACTTCTGGCCTGCTCACAGGTGTTGTCCTTGACCCTTAGCTAGTGGGGCAGGAAGGGGGGGACAACGGAGCCCTCGCAGGGAGACACCAGCCACCCAAACCCCTCCCAGCTCCCCGCTCCCTCCGTACCTGCTTGCTGCCCTCCTTGGAAATCTGCCACTTGTTACTGAGCAGCTCCGGTGCCACTTTGCGGTGGCCGCCCCGCGCCTGCTTCTCCGCGGCCCTGCAGGGGGAAGACGGGGCCCCGCTGAGCACCGCACACAGGGGTGCTGTCTCCAGGCGTGCTGTCACAGCGCGGTCACCGCTCTACTTCCCACTCGGACTATCTGAGGGCCTTTTCCCTTTTCTGTCTCAGCCACTGTCTCTGGGCTGGAGTGGCCCTGCCCCAGGCCCCCACCCCTGCCCGGCCTCGAGGTTTGGGTCAGATGTCATTTCCACGGACACACGCAGGAGTGGACAGGGGTGTGGAGTCAGACAGCTCAGCATGGACTCAAATCAGTAAGCCCATGTGCTGAGACCTGACAGCGAGTTCAGCCTCAGTAGTGTGGGCGGCTCCACAGTCTTAGCAGAGCCCTCCCATGGCGCCACTAACAGCCCCTCCTGGGAGAGATTCCAGAAAAGGACAGGGAGAGCTGTCCGGGACCCCACTGGGTGGCCCACCACACCCCTACCCGTGGCTCAGCAGCCAGCACCCGCCCCCTGTCACCCAGACCACCCACCTCTGGTCTTGGAAATAGGGGTGCTGCAGGGCCTGGTGGGCAGTGATTCTCTCGTCGGGATCATAGGCCACCATGGCGTGCAGGAGGGAGAGGCATTGCGGGGACAGATTGGCTGTCTGTAGAGGTATTCCTGATCCCTTTTTAAAAGGAAAATCAAAACTCATAGCTCTCGACCTGTATTAAAAGCCCAATGATAATAAACAATCATGCCATTGTCACTCTACAGGGACCTGCACTGGGGGACAGTCTGGGACCTAACGGGGCAGAATACGCAGGGTCCAAACCCACAGGTGGTGCCACCCAAGAGTGGCCCCCATGGGAGCTGTGGACCTCGGGGGATAGTGTCGGGTCAGGCCAATGTGGCTCAGCATTCTAACAGACGCCCCTCTGGCCGAGCTTCATCTTTGACCAACACACAACCTAACTGTCGGTGTCAGTGCGGGGCAGCACTGGGGTGGCCGGTGCCAGGGAACCTCGTCCACCCAGAGGCCTCCCAGTGCTGGGTCAGGGTGCGACTGTTCAGCGCCAGCACCTCACTGTCGGGCCTCGGCAAGGCGGGAGGAACTGTTGTGTGCAGCATGAGGGAGAGCATCCCTCTCGGACCCCCCGGGGGGTCCCAAGGACTGAGGGGCTGCACGGGTGACAGAGGGCAGCCTGGCCTACCCTCAGTGTCCCGTGCTGCCAGCCCTGGCAGGGCCAGGTCCCCACGGGGCCCCTGGGAGCACCGGCACTTACTGCTTGAACTTGGTGAGGGTCTTGGCAGCGGGGGTGCCCATGACGTCGTGGATTTTGGAGATCTGGTCCAGCTCGTTGGCTCCTGGGAAGAGGGGCTGCAGACTGGAAGAACGAGACAAGGGGCTGAGGTTAGGACAGTCCCCTTCCCTCCTGGCCGTCCTCGACACTGACGTCCTGTAACGTCCTTCCAAATTAATGCATGGCGTTGCATTAGCACGAGAGAAAGGGAGGTCTGTTGGCACTCTTAGCGTCAGTGACGTCACAATTCAGCTCTCAAAAGCTAACAATTATTAATATGAATGACCTAGAAGGGTGTGAACCCATGTCTGCATTCCTGAAGCAGTCAGCTGAGCAGGCGGGAACAGACCTGGGTCCCTGCCTCTGCTGGGCTGTCTAATGCATCGCCCAGACATTAATGCACCCCGGTCCTTAAGGCACTGTGAGCCTGGGGAGCTGCCCCACCCTCTGCGAGGGCTGCTTCCCCTCGGCACCCTCCTCGCCTCCTCCCTTCTTCCCAGGCCACGCTGCCTCCAGTGGTGAGGCCTGAAGGCGGGGCATAGGGCTGGGAGGATGGTGAGGACTGGGATGTGGTGGGTACATCTGCACCTGCAGGGCAGGGCCGGGGCCGTGCTCACCCCCACCTCACCCAGAGACCCCCTGCCCCTTGCCGGCGGGCCCCCCAGGTGGCAGTAAGCACGTTTCTGCTGGGTTCCTAGCTTGGTAATGGATCACGTCACTGAGGAAACAGAAAGCACAGGCCCAGGGCTGGGCTGCGAGTTCTGCTCCCGGTCACCAGCACCTGAGGAAGAGTGTTGGCAGAGTCCGTTCTGGGAGTTAAGGCAGTCACGGCCTCAGGGTGGCTGGGAGATGGCGCTGTCAGGAGGCCTGGCATAGGCCTGGCGCGGGCCTGCCGTGGGCCCGTGGGCACGCGGGCACGGAGGCTCTACCTGGTGATCTCGTAGAAGACGCAGCCGGCGCTCCACAGGTCCATCTTGTGGCTGTAGAAGCCGTCCGTGAGGAGGCACTCGGGGGCCCGGTACCAGCGGGTGGAGATGTATTCCGTGTACGGCTGCTTAGAATAGACGCTCCGGCAGGACCCGAAGTCGCCTAATTTCAGGATTTCCTGCTGCAGGGGGAGAAGGCGGGGACAAAGGATGGCTCATGGGGTCGCTCTTGTAACATAAGCCAACTCAACTGTTTATGTACAAACGGGAAAACACTAGCGTCGAACCTGGCTTGTAAAATGCCAGTTACCCTGACCCTGACCCTGACCCTGACCCTGACCCTGACCCTGACAGTGAGGAAGTGGTGCTTCTATTTAGGGGAACTTGTTTCACAGCGATTTCCCAATGTCTGCAGTCTAAGGGTGAGTCTACGAGCGAGTCACACACCACAGGCTGACGCCCCAGCGGCACTCGGGCAAGTCAGACCGGGGAGACGGGTCTCGGGATAGTCCCTCCATTTCCTTCACCCCTCACGTTCAGGTAACAAAATACACGCAGCCAATGACTGCAGCCTCGGGCACGTACGCTCCCACGAACACTAAACACAGCCTATCTCTGAGCCAGAAGGCCAAGAGGACCGCTCTGCGAGGTTGCCATTTCCCAACCGGGCACGTCAGGCTCTCAACCAGAAAGCGGAAGGCTGATAAAGGGCAGGGAAAATGCAGGCTGGAGAGACAAAGCAGGCATCAGGCCTGGTATTAGACATGGCATGGGTTTCAGAATTACCAGACGGGAATTTAAAGTAACCATGGCTGCCCTGACCGGTTTGGCTCAGTGGATAGAGCATTGGCCTGCAGACTAAAGGGTCCTGGGTTTGATTCCTGGTCAGGGCACATGCCCAGGTTGCAGGCTCAGTCCCCAGTGGGGGGTGTGCAGGAGGCAGCCGATCAATGATTCTCATCATTGATGTTTCTATCTCTCTTCCTCTCCCTTCTTCTCTGAAATCAATAAAAATATATTTAAAAAATAAAATAAAATAACCTGATTCACCTATGAAGGGCTCTAATGGGAAAAGTAGATAACATGCAAATTCAGGTGGGAAATGTCAACAGAGAGATGGAAACTCTAAGAATCATAAGGACGCCTAACTGGTTTGGCTCAGTGGATAGAGCGCTGGCCTGCAGAATGAAAGGTTTCAGGTTCGATTCCGGTCAAGGACATGTACCTTGGTTGTGGGCACACCCCCAGCAGGAGGTGTGCAGGAGGCAGCTGATTGATGTTTCTCTCTCATCTATGTTTCTCTCTATCCCTCTCTCTCTCAGTAAAAAAATCAATTATAATATATATATATATATATATATTTTTTTTTTAAAAGAATCATAAGGAAATACTAAAAATTTAATAAAATCAGCAGAAGTAAAAAATGACTTTGCTGGGGTCTCTCTTGATAAACCAAACACAGCCAGGGAGAGACTTAGGGGGCTGCAAGACAGGCCAACAGCATCAACCCGAACCGAAAGGCAGAGGAAAAAGAACGGGAAAACAGAACACCTAACAACTGCGGGACAATTTCAAAGTGAAATAAGCCAGACCGAAAAAAGAGTACATACTAGCCGAAACCGGTGTGGCTCAGTGGATAGAGCATCGGCCTGTGGACTGAAAGGTCCCAAGTTTCAATTCTGGTCAAGGGCACATGCCCGGGTTGCTGGCTCAATCAATGATTCTCTCTCATCATTGATGTTTCTATCTCTCTCTTTCCCTCTCCCGTCCTCTCTGAAATTAATAAAGATATATATTTTTTAAAAAAGTTTTACATTCTGCCTTTATTCTGATATCAACTTTTCGTATAAAAGCCCTTACCTTTATTAATATATTTTCTGGTTTTACATCTCTGTGAAATATTCCATTTCTGTGTTCAATATAAAAGGAAGGATAGAATTAATTGTACCCCGTTCATTCACATGCCTTCACATTGCATTCCTAATGCCTGTTACTGCCTCCCATCACCACGGGCTGCTGCGTCTCCGGGGCATACCTGTGCATGTGATCGAGGGCCCGGCACAGCTGGTACATGTAGTGCACAACTTTCTTTTCTGATAATGGATGTCTTCTCCCTGTGCAGTCAGGAAACGGCCAAATACGATTACTAGGGGTCCTCGGATCCTCTTTTGAAATAAAAGGCAGAATCTGTTTTTATTTAATTCTGTGTGAAAGCCTAACTTCCTCAGTGAGAAATGGCCTGAGCCGTTTTACAGGGAACACGGGGTGTACCACAAAAGGAGCCACTCGGAATCCCACCGACGGGACCAAGTTGCAGGGGTCCCGGTGCTCACGCTCTGAGGGCGGTGAGAGCTGCACCGGGTAAGACTCACAGGTGGCCGAAACCGGTGTGGCTCAGTGGATAGAGCGTCGGTCTGCGGACTGAAAGGTCCCAGGTTTGATTCCAGTCAAGGGCATGTACATTGGTTGTGGGCACATCCCCAGTAGGGGGTGTGAAAGAGGCAGCTGGTCGATGTTTCTCTCTCATCGATGTTTCTAACTCTCTATCCCTCTCTCTTCCTCTCTGTAAAAAAATCAATAAAATATATTAAAAAAAAAAAAAAAAAAGACTCACAGGTGGCTTAGTCTGTAAGCCTTCCTCCCGGACCCTCCTCCCCCTGCTGCCTGGGGCCACCAGCAGTCACTGGGGAATCCAGAGTTTGCCGGGTGTCCTGTCTGGTGCAGCTTTCCGTTTCAAAGGGGGAGAGCTCAGGCTAACAGAAGTGCAGGAAGACCTTGGCCCTGTGTGTCTCCCCGCCTGCAGCCCCCAGTGGAGGAGTCCTCTTCAGGGCCACCGTCCTTTCTCCTGGGGACCCCCACCCACTCGCACCTTGGCACCTCCCCTCCCCCGCTCTGGAGGCTCCCTGCCTGATGGAGTGGAGCTACTGATGGAGACAGGCGCCTCATCTCTCTTAGCTGTCCTGACCAGGGAAGTTTTTCCAAGTTAATTTTCTCATTAGGGAGATTCTACAGAATGTCGAGTTCAGTACCAGTAATGTGAACACAACGCTAAACTCCGGCTTTGCTGTCAGGCCTCAGAGGAGATGTGTAGCCTGCACTGTGACAAGCCAATCACCTCCCCTTCCCCCCTTTTCCACATGGGGCCCGGTCCCCAGGCCTGGGCCTGGCTTTGCTGGTCAGTCTGGAGGTGCACACTGGGTCCACCATGGCACAGCCCGATGGCCCAGAGGCCGTGGCCCCGGCACCACGCGGTGCTTTGCGAAGGAGGGCCTGGCAGCGTGGCCCACTGTTCTGAGCGCGGTTAGCGATCGGGACCGGCAGAGGGAAGCAGGTGAGGCGTTAGACTCAGGGAGGAGCCTGAACTGTGACCAGCATGCCCCCAGCAACCATAGCCGCACTCAAGCGCCGGTCTTCCCAGCTCGGCTCTTTGAAGCGGCTCATCTGAGGCAAGTGCTGTCTGTCTCACTTCTTTGAAATTCCATTTCCTCCTCTAAAGCGGAGTTGGCTCCTCTATGAACTGTCAAATAATAACAGCTGCCGGTGTTTGCCGAAGGCAGCGAGTCAGGCACAGCTCTTGGCTCTTAGCACGTGTCTTATTGGACTCTCACTGCGGCCCTCAGGGTTAGGACTGATCACCCCATCACAGCGCCTGCCCGCCCTCTCGGCACCCCTGGCACGCGCTGCTCTGGCCAGTGTGTGCTCCGCCATGTGGGAGGTCCGTGCCGCCACAACGGTGCCCGACGGCTCCCCCGGAAGCACCAGAACTGCCAGGACGGTGCCACTGGCACAGGGATGAAAGGTGACGCCACCCACACCCTGAACGGCAGGCTGACACGTAAGGAGAGCAAAGCCAGCCATCACTCTGTGTCCCGGGAAGTGTGAGGAGCCCGAGACTGACTCCCTTCACCAGACTTTCCTTTGCACACGTGCACAAAGGGACACGGGAGCCGGCTAAGGAGATCCCAAAGGGCCCTCTTCTAACATCGATAAAACTCCGATCGCTAAGTGATAAGAATGTTACGTGTCAGAGCTGGATTGGCAATGTTTTTTTTTTTCTTCTTCTTTCCCCTCGGTACATTAAAAACAGTGGAATGTGCATTGTATAACCAGTGGGTCAGATCTGATGAAATAGAAACACACAGCTGAACTATTCTGACACAGTCACGCCAGTCAGAACAGTCAGCGGCTGCGTGGTAACCCAGCACACGGCCTGCGCTGCCCATGGAAATGAACCGGAGCTAAAATCCTTCCATTAAACCCATGGTCAGCAAACTGCAGCTCTCGAGCCACATGCGGCTCTTTGGCCCCTTGAGTGTGGCTCTTCCACAAAATACCACGGCCTGGGCGAGTCTATGTTGAAGAAGTGGTATGAGAAGAAGTTTAAGTTTAAAAAACTTGGCTCTCAAAAGAAATGTCAATCGTTGTCCTGTTGATATTTGGCTCTGCTGACTGATGAGTTTGCCGACCACTGAGTTAAACTAATAGGAATGCAGGCCATTGTCTGCAACGAAGAGGGATGGCCCCTACCTCTGTGTCGGGTCCCTTTCTTCTTTACGCTGCAGCCCGACAAGCCCCTGCAGGTGCTCCTCAGCACAGCCGCACACTGACGCCGGCCTCGGGACCCCAGGCCGAGCAGGATGGCGGAAGGAACAGCCCCTGCGCGGCAGCTTTGGCAGCAGTTCAGTATTGCTGTGACGTCCAGCCGGGCCCTTTTCCCGGCAATTACCGCACTTACACATGGTCTGGTCACAGCATAGTAAAAACCAAATCCGGTTTTCTGCTATAGTTTTAGAAACACTGGTCTAAACACCAATCAATACATACCATCCCCCTGGTTTAAACTTTTTTTTTTTTTTTTAAAGATATCAATGATAAAAGAGAACCATCCTTCGGCTGCCTCCTGTGCGCCCCCTAGTGGAGATGGAGCCCGAAACCTGGGCTTGTGCGCTGACCGGGAATCAAACTATGACCTCCTGGTTCCTAGATCGAGGCTCAATCACCAGCCATCCTATCTCCCGCTTTAAACCCCACGGAATAATCTGAATCGTAGCTCAGATTAGGCAATTAACCAAGCTGCCTATGTTCGGGCGCTCAGTTCTGAGGCCAGGCTGCTATTCCAGCACCGAGTGCCTGACCGTCGCTGCTGCCGCTCTCCCAGGTCCTGACGTCTCTGACTCCAGGCCGCCCTGACCACCAAGGCACCGGCCTGTGGGCGGCACCGTGTTTGTGTGCTGGGCCCATGGCCCCTCACCCACATCGCACGGCCTATTCCAAGTCTCCCCCTGGAGGCAGATGCTGGAAGAAATGGATGCAATTTCCCCAACGATACAATTCCCCTACTGCCGAAAATTAGACACTTACTTCTGAACAAAGCTTTCTCCAATGTCTAGATGCACAGAAACTTGCCGAAATGACCCCATGGCCTTGAGTTCTGAACTACCCACTGTAGGAAGCAACACTGAGAATTCTAACGTGAGGCACTAGCCCAGGTGTCGGCAACCTACGGCTCCAGAGCCGCATGCGGCTCTTTTGAAGCTTTACCGCGGCCCCGACAGCTTGCAAGCCTGTGTGAAAATGAAGGTAACGTCTTACAGCCCTGATGTCCTGACACTGCACTGAAGTTCAGGAGCAAAAATCCCATTAACCAAGTAAATTAAATATTTTAATTAGCTATTAATTTGCAAAAATGTATTTTACATTGTTAAGTGAAAAAGTCCTTTTTTTTCTTCAGATGGACAGCTAACTGCACGGTCCGGTATACAGCATTAAGGTAAGAAACAGTATATACAGTGTTATATTTGTTTTAAATGTCGCAATGGTTTTGCGGCTCCCAGGTTTTTTTTTTTCCTTCGGAAACGGGTTCAAGTGGCTCTTTATGTCTTAAAGGTTGCAGACCCCTGCACTAGCCTCACGCCGAGCCCTGCCCTGAGCCAGCGAAGCAGGTAGGCAGGTTCACCCCGGGGAAAGACCCGGGCTCACTGGCACCAGCACTGCTATTAGGGACTGGCTGCCGCCGCACTCTTAGCTACACACACGGGGGATGGCGGGAAGGGCCCGGCACAGGCAGCAGGTGTAACCACGTGGCAGCACCTCATTTTCCCGGCCGACGCGGGGCAGGTGAGATTCCCAGGTAAATGAGTTTACTTGTTGAACGCCAACCCTTCTCCACTGCCATCGCTTTAAACGGGACTCTCAGGCACACCGGACTCACCTTCCTGCCTCTCCTGTGTGTGCTGGAGTGGTGCCGCCCCGCCCCCGTGGGGCATGCCTTTCCTCGCGTGTCCTGTGGGACCCGGAGACGTGCAGCTGTTCGCCCAGACGGCTCTCGCCCTCTGATGTTGTTTTCACTCACGTGTAAGTTCTATACCCCGGCCTCCCCCAGGATGGACTGCCCTGTCACTTCCTGCTATTGCTGGTGTGCCAAGTTCTAGGAGCTCCTTCTGAGAGCTCTATTTTAAATAGGTTTTAGACCAAGAAGCCAGATCTGTTAGAATTGCATTTAAAACAAGGTCAAACCTATGGGTAAAATACACACGTTTTGTAATGATAAGTAACACCTTAAAGTCCCAGATAGACATCTTCTATTTTCCCCCAAAAAGTTCCAAAAGCTTTTGCATCCAAACAGTTTACATAAACATTTATGCATGTAGGAAAACGTGTCCACGTGTTTTAAATCACATGTGAACTCCGTCGATGAGCCATGAGGCTTTTCCCACTCTCCCGCTTCACAAAACACCCGAGTGCGCACTCCCCACGGGCGGGCTCAGCGCGGGCTCCTCACGGCAGGCGCAGCGTGGCCTGGCTTCTCCAGAGCACGCCCTTCCGCCCGGGCTGATCCGGCCGCTTTAAAGCATCTGTGGGGCTGCCGCGGACTTCCACCCCAAGCCATAAGCAGTCCCTCGCGTGACATGAGCAGGTTCTCTTCTTGCTCAGTGTGACCTGTGAAATGCGGCACTTCCTCCAGGCTTTCTCAGTGATAGTTACAAGGCTCACTTGTCTTGACATCTAACCAACCGTGAGGTCACACGCCCGGGACAATTGTTAAATGTGGGCCAAACGGCTGCCTCCTCCTCTCCATTCCCCTCAGGTGACCTCCGTGAGCCTCCAAAGCCAGCCGCCTGGCCAGCACCCCCCCCCCCCCTCCTTCCACCCTCTCCTAAACAGGGCTTCATTGTTCAAAGTCCGTGAATGAGCACCCTGTCTGTCATTCAGGAGACTTTGGAAGGATCCAGATATAAGGAGGTTCCCTTGCATGTGAGGGATTCTTTGGGGGGCGAGCCCCGCCTCACTCCGAGGCGAGAACAGAAGGTGGATCAGCAGCAGAGCCTGAGGGAAGAGGGACCCTCGCAGTGGGGACCCCAGGGTGGAGGCCCCAGCTTCCTGCGCGCCATCCTCTTCCCCAATGCACGGCCAGGCTCTCGGCTGGCGGCCTTCCTTCTCATTTCATTTACCGGGGACCCCCCCCACCCCCGCCCTCCTGCTCTCCAGGCGGATGCGGGGCAGGTGAGATTCCCTGTGTTTACACATGACTGCCCCCGGTGCATCGACCTGAGCGCCAGCCAGTATGAACTACAAGCTTTACCGTCAGTTCTTACATTAGCTTCCAGATGGTTCCACGTACCTCGTATCAGTTCATAAACATTCATGTCCATAAGTTCACATATTAGCGCAAGAGAACCAGATTTTCTGTCACTGAGGAAGAAAGCAGGTTTTTTAAAATGTTTTCTCGTGTTTTAACCAGAAAATATAATCAAATATTTAATTCATCTGTAAACATTTTGTATAAAGATAAAGCACCCCCACATCAGACAGAGCCTGGAGGGCAATGACTGGAGCAGGAGTTACATTTCAGGTAAAATTAACTTAAAGTAATAGCAAAGTCCTGCTGAAGGCACAAACTCTAAAAGCCCCCTCCCCATTTCAAAAAAGACATATATGTCTTGACAATATAAAATTAACTCTCAAGAGAGAGAAGAAATGAGGTCGGGGGTGGGGTGGGTGGGGGCAACCAGAATAACCAGAGAGAGAAGAATTTAATTCCTGCCTGCAATGCAGTCTTCGTTTTAATTTACCTCCATCACCTCCATGTGACACATGACCAGGGGGTGTGGTGGGTGGGTGGGGCGTGGAGAACAGAGTCCCGGAAGAGCCAGGGGAAACGGGAGAAGGATGAGTGGCTTTGCCCCTGAGTGACATCTTGCCCAGGGTGGGGACAGAGGCCTCTGGCTGCACCGCCAGCTTCCTCTGGGTTCAAGAAGCCCCGAAAGGGACCTCTGACCCCGGCAGGGCAGCCTGTGACACCTCAGGCTGCTCAGGGTGCTTCCTAGGGGGCCCCCCACGTCTCTCAGGGCTGCCAGGAGGCCCAGGCCATTCTGGACAGAGCGCTTTCTAAAGCGCAGAGAAAGCACCTCTCCCGCAGGCAGTGGTGACTGTCACAAGCGAACGGCAGTGTCTAAACGCAGCCAAGCCGACGGCTCAGCACGCCGCGGGCCAGGCGGCCGCACGCTGCAACAGGACAGTGGACACTGAGTTTGACACGGTCCGGGCCTCTGACGGGCACTGCTGCACTTAGCTGTCAGAGACCACAGCTTCTGGGCAGTTTTAAAGGCCACTCCACCTTCTCAGGGATCGGTGCCGCTGGCCCAGGGAGACGGCCTGGAACCCCGGCTGAGCCCACTCTGGGCACGGTGCCTGGGACCAGCTGTGCCCTGACTTCCAAATGGGCAGGTGAGCCTTAGGGAAACTGTCCTATGGTTAGACCGGAAATAAAAATCCCCTGAAGCCATATCAGGAGAAGCTCCATGAAAGGGAGACCGCAGCACTGAGCAGATGACTGTGGTAGGGGAGAGAAGCCAATCCCCCCACTACCTCCCAGACACGACCCAGAGCCAGCGGGTTAGGTCAGAGTTCACACCCAGTGGGTCAGGTTGGAGTTCACACTGAGGCCTCAGGGGCCCAGAGTCACTTTATGAATCAGCTGACACTCTGGGCTACAAAACAGTTATCTATAATGCCAACCATGATTTTCTTTCTTAAAAAGAGACTTGACCATTATCATCAGATTTAGATAAATTTTAAAGGCCCGAATATACTTACAAAACCACTTCATGCAACGTAAGAATGTTTGGGTGTGGATTCAGGCGCCTCAGTGCTTGTATCTCTCGGAGGTTGTTCACTTGCTCAATACTATCATGTAGGCAAAAACAAACAGCTGATTGATCATTCAGGCCAAGTTTAAAATCTGGGCTATTAAATCATTACCTATCATCCCTGATCAAAACCGACAAACTCACAAATACTTTAAGCAAGACAATCAGGTTTTACTCCTCCTCTTAGCAGTAGAAATTAAACATATGTTTGTGCATTATCTTATAAAAATCAAGGTTCTTAGAGCATTGGCTATAAATTCAATTTTTTCCCATCAAGCTCCTTGGTAGTTTCTTTTACTATTAATAAATATAAACAGAAATATTAAAATTTCCTATGAATCAGTTTATGGGAATTAACCAACCCGCAATGTAAAAATAAGCATTTTATTTTTTTTAAAGAAATTTAAAGATATATATATTTTATTGATTTTTTACAGAGAGAAAGAGAGAGGGATAGGGAGTTAGAAACATCGATGAGAGAGAATCATCAACTAGCTGCCTCTTGCACACCCCCTACTGGGGATGTGCCCACAACCAAGATACATGCCCTCAACCGGAATCGAAACCGGGACCTTTCAGTCTGCAGGCCGACGCTCTATCCACTGAGCCACACTGGTTTTGGCAAAAATAAGCATTTAAAATTTCCACAAACAGACCCACCCTTCCTTACTTAAGGCTGTCGTTTTTGTCAACTTCCTTCACCTGGTGACAGGCGCCCTCTAGCAGGTGTGTCTGCCGGTTTTTCTTTAAGAAGACAGCTACACTGACACCCTGTTCTCACCCCAAATCCGTCAACGCAAGTGCAACCACGGCCCAGGCCTGAGGCTGCCCGCTCTCCCTCTGGACCATGGACACAAGCGCTCACATCCAACGAGGCCTCAGGCATCAGACACTTTCATCCCAGAGGTTCTGAAAGGAAGTGATTGTGCGAATCTTCTTCCTTTGAACTAGTGAGATTCTGTTAACAGAGAATGAAGCTCGGCATCCTGTTTGGTGATGTATCCAACAGTATTCTGTTATTGTAAATCAACGTGGCTCATCGGTTGTTATGTGTGAGGGCGTGACAACCATTTGCATATTAGCCTTTTATTATATAGGATTCTTTAGAAGCAAGCCACTTATTGATGTCAGTAGGTGCTCATGGTTATTTGAATAGACAGACAGTTGGGTAGATGTGTGGGGAGGGAGGGGCAGAGGGGTGGGTAAATGGGTCCGTGCGCACGCACACTGGCTTCGTCTCCTGAAGAAGCCTAGAGGCAGTGACATCCCAGGAGCCAGGAGCACACCTGGTGCCAAAGTCTTGTTCCCAAGTATCTTTCTCCAATAAAAGGCGACAAGACTTCTTAAGAGACATGGGAGGTCCCAGGGGCAGGGAAATACAAGAGGAGCTACTGCCAGGACCGGTTTGGCTCAGTGGATAGAGCGTCGGCCTGCGGACTGAAAGGTCCCGGGTTCGATTCCAGGCAAGGGCATGTATCTTGGTTGCGGGCACATCCCCGGTGGAGGGTGTGCAAGAGGCAGCTGATCGATAATTCTCTCTCATCGATGTTTCTAACTCTCTATCCCTCTCTCTTCCTCTCTGTGAAAAATCAATAAAATATATTAAAAAAAAAAAAAAAAAAAAAAAAGAGGAGCTACAGAATCTTGTAGTGCCAAAGGAATCAAAAAGGGCGGGGCACGCCGAAGAAACAGAGCCAGCCTGGAAGAGCTCCGTGGCCAGAGCTGGACCGTTTATTAAATAAGTAACGACAGCATTGGGTGAACATGTGTGTAAGAGCTCACAAGAATAAACCCAGAGTCCAGTTCCCCTCGGGCCTGGTCTGCACGGCTGCGGACACCTGTCCACATGAGCCTGAGGTGACCCCTCATCTACACGTCAGCCACCAGCCACCAGCGGCCCAGGGCCACGTCCCTTCCCAGGAAAGCAACATCCACAGTGTGGTCACACTGCAGGCGCCTCCCACGCACCCAGACTCGACAGCAAAGCAAAGGAACACAAATCCTGTGGCACTTTATTAAAAAGGAACACAAATCCTCTGGTACTTTATTTAAAATCTTTACTTATTATGTTTTTTTTTTTGTTTGTTTGTTTTTTAAATGTGTTCCAATCAACCACTTTTAAAGTTAAGGCAAAGAGTAAGAATTGTTCTCAACTACATCAAACGATGACACATCCAGCAACGAGGCTGCCGTCTGTTGAACATTAAGTGCACGCCCACCTTGCTAGCTATTTCTTAGTCGGCAAACTGAGGCTCGTGAGCCACCTGCGGCTCTTTGGCCCCTTGAGTGTGGCTCTTCTTCAAAACACCATGGCCTGGGTACGTCTGTTTTGAAGAAGTGGCGTTAGAAGAAATTTAAGTTTTAAAAATTTGGCTCACACTGAGAGTCTGAAATCAAGGTTTATATCCCCAAACACTTCAGAAGGCTCTGCACCAACGTGGGGGGGGGGGAGAGGAGGATGACTATGGTTTTTTAAAATGTGCTTTAAATATTTAGTGACTTCAATTTCTTTGACAGTAAAAGCTGAGCCTCGCCTGGCCAGTGTTCCTCAGTGGTTAAGGGTGACCTCTGAAACAGGTGGTCATGGTTTGACTCCCAATCAGGACAAATGCCTGGTTGCAGGCTCCATCCCCAGTAGTGGGTGTGCAGGAGGCAGCCAAACAATGATTTTCTCTCATCACTGATATTTCTTTCCCCCTCTCCTTCTCCTTTCCTCTCACTGAAATCAATAAAACAGAAAAATAAATAACAATTTTAAAAGATGAGCTTCAGGCGTCTGTATTGAAAAATTTAACAGTTGTGACGAAGCTGGCATTTACCCATTATTCCAGTAGTATGGAATAACTGTTTAGTGTGATCTAGGCCAGTGGTCGGCAAACTTATTAGTCAACAGAGCCAAATATCAACAGTACAATGATTGAAATTTCTTTTGAGAGCCAAGTTTTTAAAACTTAAACTATCTAGGTAGGTACATTGTTATTAACTTCATTAGGGTCCTCCTAAGCTGGCCTTTGCTAAAAACTCAAGGGGCCAAAGAGCCGCATGTGGCTCGAGAGCCGCGGTTTGCTGCCCACTGATCTAGGCTAAGGGCAACCACAAGGACTTTAAGAGACTCCGAGGGACACAGCCCCAGCACTCCTGCAAGAGACTAGGCTCTAGCCAGAGAGCCCTCTCTCCACACACTGTCACCCCAGGGAATTAATTTCTCCAACCCTCTTTGGAAATTATTTCTCAGAACATTAATTGACTCAAAATTAATACAATCACAAGGGCCTCTAAGGTTTCATTTATAAAAGTCTAATACCCAGAACTCTGAGGAACATACAGACTGTGTAAGAGAGGCATATTTTTCCAACTGGAATTTATATATATATATTTTTTAATTGATTTTTTTACAGAGAGGAAGAGAGAGGGAGAGAGAGTTAGAAACATCAATGATGAGAGAAACATCGATCAGCTGCCTCCTGCACACCCACTACTGGGGATGTGCCCGCAACCAGGATACATGCCCTTGACCGGAATCGAACCCGGGACCCTTGAGTCCTCAGGCCGACGCTCTATCCACGGAGCCAAACCGGTTTTGGCACAACTGGAATTTTTTTTTTGTAAGCAATTAATCATTGATATCACAGTAAACTGGGACATAAATAAAATCCAGTATAACAAACATAAAATTAGCTCTAATCCTCACTGCCTAAAGAAATTTGACTGTTGTACATATTACATGAACAGACTCTTCCCACGAATACTAAGTTGCCCTGATGATTTAAACCTGAGTCTGCTTTCCATGTGAACTCATCTCATCGCCTACCTTTCAAAGTGCTGTTTCATTTGTTTGCATGCATAGTAGTTTCCATCCCTCAAGCTCTGCATCTTCATAACTTCAGAAAACGTTCCCTCGCCTATTTTGCCAATTGCTTTGTAGTCTATAAATACAAACAGTTATAAAAGTGAGGTTTTATTTATACATGTATTTTGTACTTGTTTCCAGACAGTGAACCTTTTACCTGTAAGGTGATCGGCAGTTGACCGGCAGGCGTGGCTCAGTGGCTGAGCATCAACCTATGAACCAGGAGGTCATGGTTCGATTCCTGGTCAGGACACATGCCCAGATTGCGAGCTTGATCCCCAGCAGGAGGTGTGCGTGCAGGAGGCAGCTTATCAAGGATTCTCTCTCATCATTGATGTTTCTTTCTCTCTCCCTCTCACTTTCTCTCTGAAATCAATAGAAATACATTTCAAAAAAAGATAATTGGCATCACATACTGAGGATTTCTCCTTTTTTCTAAGGCTCAGCATCCCCCCCACTTTGTTTTCTCTCTGCAATCCCATCCCCCCCCCCGCACCCCCCCCTACATACACACACACCAGCAGAGAACCACGTGATTGGCAGCCTGGGGTGATGAGAGGCTCAGGCCCAGGAGATGTGGAAAGCAGAGGCGCAGGCAGCCAGCTGGGGTGGTTTCTGGCGGAGCGCTCACTTGGGCCTGGGCATTCGGCAGAGGGGACACTGCACCAGCACTTCGGAGCATTCTCCTGAAGGCCGCCCTCTCTGGTCCCGCCGAGGCCTAGCTGAGCCGCCCAGGTCCTGCAATTCTTGCAATTCCTGATTTCCTGGAACTGACAGCAGCGGCCCCTGGCCTTGTGCTGCCACCACCACCACTGCCCCCTGCACTGATAATGGTTTTACAATGGCAGATGCCTTTCTGCTTGAAATGCCTAGTTTCTGCTTTACAAACCAAACCCGACAGACTCAGACAGGAGTATCTTAAAGTGGGCTGTGGCTGCTAACAAAAACCTGAGAAATGCAGCCACTGCAGAGAGCAGGCTGGACCAGGGGGAGCCTGGTGAATGGTGATCCTGTGCCTTCCCCAGACCGAGTGTCTGCTGGGCTGCTGGGCTGCTGGGCCTTTTCCCTTGGCCCGGGGAGAGCGGGGGTCAGGGTCCCAATGCTGGGATGTGGTTTCAGGGACTCTTGGAGGCTCCGGTGGAAGGAGATACCGAGAGGAAGAGCAAGACTAAAAAGAAGCAAAGCAGCTCCAGAAGTAGGTCTAGAATCGAACCTTACATGCAGAACTCACCAGAAGCAAATAGGTCAGAAACCGATTAAACAAAAATGCCTGTCACCTTCAGATCCCACGCCTGCATCAGCACAGAGCAGGCCTGGGAAACTGTTCAGCCTCAAGGAGGCAGCCTCTCCCACACCCCTTCCACAGGGCACATTAAAACAAACAAACAAACAAAAATATACTTTATTTATTTATTTATTTCAGAGAGGGAGGGAGAGGGAGAGAGAAACATCAATGATCAGAGAGAATCCTTGATCGGCTCCCTCCTGCTTGCCTCCTACTGGGGATTGAGCCCAAAAACCCAGGCATGTGCCCTGACCGGGAATCGAACCATGACTTCTTGGTTCATAGATCAACACTCAACCACTGAGCCAAGCTGGTTGGGCTGAACTGCACGTTCAAGTAGGAAAAAGAATTAGAAAGATAAGAATCCATATCCCTGGCTCAGCAGTTACACTTCCAGGTTTCGATCCCGAGAATACCAACAGAGACCGAGCGAGATTCTTAGTCAAAGATATTTGTCACAGTGTCACGACAGCCAGGATGCTAAAGCTTAAGTAGCTGATATCAAGGAAATGACTTTCATTATGGAATAGCCACCAGCTAAATATTATGCAGACATTGTAAACCATGCTTTCAAATCCCATTTAACAATACAGGGAACATGTTCAGCCATTATTTGATGTGAAGGGAGAAAAGGATGCAATGAACTTTTCTACAAATACATACACATGCATAGAAGATGGGTTGTAAAGGTGTAAAAGAATTTAAAAGACAGTATATATGTCTGGGTGGGATTGATGGTGGTTTTAATTTGCTCATTATATTTTTCTATAGTTTTCAATGTTCAAGATGAATTTATATTACTTTAAATGTGTGAGAATTTATATTACTTTAAATGTATGTGAATTTATATTACTTTAAATGAATTTATATTACTTTAAGAAAAACATAAAGATAAAAATTATGAACAACAAATACCTATCTATCAACAAGTGAATCTAAATATCAAGTGAATTAAAAATCTGATGAACACGCCGGGACCGGTTTGGCTCAATGGATAGAGCGTCGGCTTGGGGACTGAAAGGTCCCGGGTTCGATTCCGGTCAAGGGCATGTATCCTGGTTGCAGGCATATCCCCAGTAGGGGGTGTGCAAGAAGCAGCTGATCGATGACTCTCTCTCATCGACGTTTCTGACTCTCTATCTCTCTCCCTTCCTCTCTGTACAAAATCAATAAAATATATTTTAAAAAAATAAAAAAAATAAATAAAAATCTGATGAATAGAATAAACTGGTGAATATAATAGAATCAGGGGCATAGAAAGGGAGCGGACTAACAACTCTCTGGGGAAAAGGGTGCAGGAAGAGACTGGACAAAAATCATACACCCCTGGATAAGGACAATGGTGGGGGGGATAAGGGAAGAGGGTGGGATGGGAACCAGGTGGAGGGGAGCTATGGGGGTTGGGGGGAGAGGAACAACTGTAATAATCTGAACAATAAAGATTTACTAAATTAAAAAAATAAATAAATAAAAAGTTCCCAAGAACTTTAAGAAACCAGTGAAGCCGTTGGCTAACTGCTACCAGCACAAGGAGCTTAAAATGAACTGCCCTCACACTACAACAGCCGTTTAGAGGGAGAGGCGCCCAGCTCACCAGAGGGACGGGGCCCAGTTCCTGAAAGCCGGGCTGTGGCCTGAGGAATTCAGATTTGCGATGGGAAGAGGAAATTTTATACAACAAATTCCAATTTGTGTTTTATCACAGATAAATCAAGTGAAGCAGACTTCCTTAAAAACAACAACAAAAAGCAGACAGCAGGAGGCAGCCAATCAATGTGTTTTCTCTCCCTTTCCCTCTTCTCTCTCTCAAATCAATAAACACACACACATACACACACACACACACACACACACACACACACACACACATTTATTATTGATTTCAGAGAGGAAGGGAGAGGGAGAGATAGTAACGTCAATGATGAGAGAGAATCATTGATCGCAGCCTCCTGCCTGCCCCACACCAAGGATCCAGCCTGCAACCCAGGCATATGCCCTGACCGGAAACCCAATCTTGACCTCCTGGTTCATAGGTCTACACTCAACCACTGAGCAACACCAGCTGGGCAATAAAAACATATTTAAAAAAAAAAAAAAGTCCAAAGCTGGTTTGGCTCAATGGATAGAGCGTCTGCCTGCGGACTGGAGGGTCCCAGGTTCGATTCCGGTCAAGGGCATATACATTGGTTGCGGGCACATCCCCAGTAGGGGGTGTGCAGGAGACAACTGATCGATGTCTCTCTCTCGATGTTTCTATCTCTCTATCTCTCTCCCTTCCTCTCTGTAAAAAATTAATAAAATGTATTTTTTTAAAAAAAGACAAAAAGGCTGGGCACTGCCAAATTAAAGGAGACCAAGAAATAGGATATCAACATTCTAATTTGTGATTTCTGATTGGATCCTGAGAAGAATAAAAACACCTATAATGAACATTATTGGAATAACTGGGGAAATCTGAATTATAGACTGCATACTCGATGATAGTATTGTGTCAACGTGTTAGCTGCACTGTGACCATGCAGGACTATGTTCTTGTTCTTAGCAGACACTTGCTGAATTGTTAGCGATGAAATGTCACGCTGTCTACCACAAACTTCCAAAGGTTCAGCAAAAACGAATACATCGCTTAGGGAGAAAATGCCAGAACATAGTGGGGCATCTAGGTGAACATTCAAGGAACACTTCTTGCAACTTTTCTGCAGCTTCAAAAATTTGCAAAATAAATAATTGAAGACCCTGCCTTCTAACCACGGCTCTGGGCGCATTCGTCAGAGAGCCAGACGGCCAACCATATCCAACAGGAGGGCGTAAGAATGCTTGTACAGGGTGAGTGAGGCAAGTGGGTTATTTTTAATATCTTTGTCCCACAACTTATGCCATATACACAATTTATGCCATATACACAATTTATGCCATATACACAATTTATGCCATATACACAATTTAGGCCATATACACAATTTAGGCCATATACACAATTTAGGCCATATACACAATTTAGGCCATATACACAATTTATGCCATATACACAATTTAGGCCATATACACAATTTAGGCCATACACCACTGCTCGCTGACAATTAGGCGATGATGCAAATTTGACACATTACAACTACACTAACGTCATTGATCTTTTCACAGCAAAGAAGTCGGACATGTTTTGCACCTTCGACTCATCCAGCCCAGGGGAGGGGGCCTGGACCCCCCTCACCCTCCCCCCCTCCAAGGGGCGAGTCGGGCCCTTAAGGTCCGGGTCCGGGGCCTCCGCCGCCCTCGCTCCCAGCGCCCCGGCCGCACTCACTCTTCATCCCGGGCGGAGAGGAAAGGGGCGGGCAGGGTGGGCCCTGGCTCCCACGGCTCCGAGGCGGGGTCTCGAACTAGGACCTCCGCGGTGGTCCCGGTCGGAGGGTTAGGACCCGGCCGCCATGTTGTGTCCCCGTCACCCTGGCAACCGCCAAGCCCGGGACGCCCCGGGAGGCCTGCCGCGCGTGCGCGAAACGGCTGCGGGGCTCAGGAGCGATGGACTGGGGGGGGGGGGGGGGGGCGGGGGGCCTGCCGGCTCTGCAGACACCAAGTCGGGGTGGGAGACCGGGGTGATCGCACACTTCTGGGGGGCTGCAGGGCAGCTGCTGAGCCACGCAGGGGCCGGTCCAGCGGAAGAGGGCGGAGTGTTCCAGCCAGAGGGCGAGTGACAAGTCAGGGAGCGTGAGACCCATCCCTCCCGCCAACCCAGGCTCCTGCGGAGGGGACAGCCGAGATGAAGGCGAAGGGATCTTGCGTCCCAGACAAGGCTGCGACCTGGGTCTGCAGGGTGCAGGCAGCCGCGAAGCCTCTTCTGCAGGGGAGCGGCAGGCAGAGACCTGGGTTAGAGCCAGCCCTTTGGCCGCGCGTGCATTGGGAAGGCCCCACGGCAGGGGCTGCAGGGGACCGCGGTCAGCGGGACGAGGAAAAGAGGGCAGCCCCCGGGGTCTGCCCGAAGCGTCTCCACCCGGGCCAATGGGGTGGAGGCCAGGGAAGACAGCTGGGTTGTGGCCCCATGGCTGGCTGCTAAAGGGAGCTGGAGAAGGGGGTTTGGGTGACCTTGCAGCCTAGGGGCCCCCACCCCCATCCCCTCTCACAGGACATCTCCATGCTGACCTGTCACCTACCAGCTGGGCAAGGATGGAAACCCAGAAAGGAGTCAATGAAGGAGGGGGATGAGGAGCAGGCGCTCACTCTCAATGTGAGTGTGAGCTGGCACAGAAGCGGCCTGGAATGACCTATTAATTAAAAAATAGATTTATACATTGTCCCTAAGCTACTAGTATTTCTGCTCTAGCTGCCCTAGGACCAGATCACCAGGTCTGACAAAGCCCTAAGCCCTACCACCCAGAGCAAAAGGGAAACTGCACGCAGAGCACCCAATTTTGGTAAAAAGTACCAGGGAGGAGGTGAATGTCTGCATTACCTACTCCAAGGCCTTTGGGTTTCTGGAAGGAAGAGCTTATGGAGGACTTCCCCTTTCTACATTACATAGGTAACTATAGTATTGACTTTTTTTTTTTTTTTTTTTTTTTATCTTACCCACTTGTCCACTTAAAACACTTCACCAGTTCCCAGTGCTCCCAGATAAACACAAAACCTAGCATGAGTTGGCAGGCTGTTCACATCTGGCTATGCCCACATCTCCACCCATCTCTTGCATGCACAGACACACACACACACACACACACACACACGCACACATGCCTGCACACCAGCACCCTGGCCCTACCACTTGCCCTGTTGCACACCTGTCAGCCCTTGTGTCATTCATGTTGTATGTTTGCAACCAGCCCTTTCACCAGGTCCAGAGAAGCACACGTTCCTGTCCACCAACTGGGGAGGGCGCTGACATCCATTCACTGAGCAGCTACTGTGGGCCATACCCCTTCCCAACACCCCGTGGGAATAAACGGATTTACTTCCTTTGTTACATGTGCTGACAGAAAGGGAGACTGACTCCCTCTTCCTAACGGGCACCAGGAAAATCACTGGATGAGAGGCAGGCATGGGCTGCAGGGTGTGAGACAGAAGGGAGACCCTGCAGAGACCTGGGTGGGGTAGTGACGGTGATGAGTGCACGCAGCACTGGAGGAGGTGGGACAAACAAAAGACGAACTTTGTCAGGCCTGCTCTTGAGTCTCCCTGGCACAGCCCTGCACACGGGTCCTCAGCCCTCTGGCAGATAGCAGCCCTGGCCCACCTGTCAGGGCCCAGGATGGGAGGTGCCCAGGCCCCCCCTCCTCCTGCTCCTCACCCCTAAACTGGGGGCTGCAGCTGGGAGTCCCTTCCTCTTCTGTGGCTTCTCTCCAGGAGCTGAGGGGACAGTGAGCGGGCAGGTGGGCAGGGACCAGAGCTCCCCACGCTGCCTGTGAAACACTCACTCCCGGGAATCAGGGTGAGGGCAAGGTTGGTCCTGTGGCTGCAAGGGAAATTCTCCCCTAGCTTCTGGTGCTGCCAGCTGTCCTTGGTTCCTTGGCTTGGAGACCCATCCTCCCCACCCATCTCTGCGTCCAAGTCACATGACCTCCTCTCTGTGAGTGAGTCTAACTTCCCTCTTACAAGGACACCTGCCACAGCAGTGAGGGCCCACCCATCCAAGACCCAAGGTATCCTCTGAATGTGATTACATCAGCAAAGGCCTATTCCCAAAGGCCACGGTCACTATGTCCCACCGCATGGATGTGGGAACATACCTCAGGAGAGGTATCACGCGGTCCAAGGTGGAGTGGAAACACCAGTCTAAGGACAGCAGAGCAGGAATTTCCTGCAAATACACGCCCAGCACAAGGACGCCTTTCCCTATAGGCACGTTCTCTCCCCGTCAGTGCTCCCATGTATGACAAGACTCACGCCCTGCGACAAGCACGGCCCCTTCCGTGGCAGGGCGGGAAGAGGCCTCTGTGCCAGGACGAGCAGGGCTTCCCAGGAAGAAGGGAGAACTCATCTCTGCTCTCACCACCTGCTCCTGGTGCAGCTTGGCTGGAGAGGAGACACACTGGGGCTGCGCGGCTCCCTGCACTGCCGCCGCCCGCCAGCAGGGGGCCCCTCCCGTTCCCTCCCAGAGCCCGCTCTGCGCCCGGAAGTCCCGCCCCTGCAGGAAGTCAGCCAGTGGCCTTGGGAAGATGGCTGGTCCAGGGGCCTAGGAGGGCCTGGCTAGGCAGCTGCTGGCAGCGCGGGACCCTGAGAACTTGAAGGGGCCGTGGGCCTGGGGCGGCGGGCGACCCCGGGGGCAGCCCGCGGGGAGCCTGCTCACTGGGGAGTCAGGCAGCTTCTGCACAAGATGGGGCGCGGGGGCCGCGGGGCGCGGGCTGAGGACCCCGCTCAGGCCCGGCCCTCCGGGTGGACGCCCCGCGCTGCGGGACCAGCCGCTCAGGGCGCCGTCTGAGGCGGGTTGTTCCTGAGGAGACGCCTCCTCCCAGGCCAGGCCGCTCCGCAGAGGGCGATGGCGGCGCCTCCTCTGCCTGTGGCCCCTCAGGGCGCTGCTCCAGGGCTTCCCGGCCCAAGTCCTGGACGACCGGACCCTCCTCCCCGAGGCTTTGGGCTCAGACAGAACGGAGCCATCGGCCTGACCACCTGCTGCCGCTCAGGGTCCATGGCCGTGAGCACAGGAGGCCTGGCCGCTCCCCACGGCAGCTGCCCTCCTGGCCGGAAGGGCACCGGGAAGGACTCGGTGCGGGGCCTCCTCATGGCGCCTCGGCGCATGGCGGCCCTGAACCCTGTGCAGAGCCTCGAGCTCTCGGGGGCCGCGGCCATGAAGCTCCAGTTCTGTGGTGACAGGAGCGTCCTCGTGGGGCCCAGAGTGTGTCCCGAGCCCATGGGTCCGTCCCTGAGCTGCTCCTGAGTCACTGATCAATCAAACATGAGGTCTCTGCAGAGCTGTGTGAAAGCCCCATCGGAACTAATTACGTGCTTAGCACCTTCAGCAAAATGAATGCTTTTAAATGCTCTCCTAAGTTATAGTTTATATTGAAGACATCAAATACATTCAGAATTTCAGGTATTTGATGTAGTTAAGTAATTCCAATTGTGTGTTAAAAACATTCAACCTAAGTATTTTATACATAGAGGCCCAGTGCACAAAATTTGTGTGTGGGGGGGTTGGGGGTGGGGGTGGAGGAGTGGGCGGGGGTGTCACTCAGCCCAGGCTGCACCCTCTCTATTCTGGGACCTCTTGAGGGATGTTCAACTGCCTGTTTAGGCCCCATCCCTAAATGGGCAGTTGGACATCCCTCTCACAATTCAGGGCTGCTGGTTCCCAATTGCTGGCCTGCCTGCCTTCCTGATTGCCCCCTTATCACTGCCCTGCTAGCCTGATTGATGCCTAACAGCTCCCCTGCCAGTCTCATTGCCCCTAACTGCCCTCCCCTGCAGGCATAGTTCCCCCCCCCACCTGCTCCCCCCTGCAGGTATGGTCCCCCCCAACTACCCTCCCTTGCATGCCTGGTCCCTCCCAACTGACCTCCCCTGCTGACCATCTTGTAGCAGCTATCTTTGATCACATGGGGGTAGACATCTTGTGTGTTGGAGTGATGGTAAATTTGCATATTATTCTTATTAGATAGGATTATTTTTCTGCAGAATTCTAATTTCTCTTTTTAAAAATATCTTTCTGTTGATTTCAGAGAGGAAGGAAGAGGGAAAGAGAGAAAAACAACAGTGATGAGAATCATTAATGGGCTGCCTCCTGCAGGCCCCACATTGGGGATTGAGCCTGAAACCTGGGCCTGTGCCCTGAACAGGAATCAAGCCTCGAGTCCCTGGTTTATAGGTCAACTCTCAACCACTGAGTGATGCTGGCTAGGCTAATTTCTCTCTCTTCCTCTCTCTCTCTCTTTAAAAAAAATTTATATATATATATATATATATATATATATATATATATATATATATATATATATATATATATATAAAATTGATTTTTTACAGAGAGGAAGGGAGAGGGATAGAGAGTTATAAATATCGATGAGAGAGAAACATTGATCAGCTGCCTCCTGCACACCCCGCACTGGGGATGTGCCCGCAACCAAGGTACATGCCCTTGACTGGAATCAAACCTGGGAAATTTCAGTCTGCATACTAATGCTCTATCCGATGAGCCAAACCGGTTTCAGTTAATTTCTCTTTAAGTTACATTTGAGCATAATGTGTGGTCAGAGTATGCTCTGCAGGTTGATTTTCGTGAAGTGGGGAGTTTACAGGTTCCATTATTATTTGTCACCCACAGAGTGTCCCCTGTCTGCGGGCGTTGGCCTCTGTGAAGTCACTCCCTCCTGCCCATCTGCGC